CAGGCCCTTGCATCATGCAGAATGCTCACATGTATACAAAAAGAGAAAGACACAATTAAAACAAAATGGCAATTAAGCCTTGACGTTGCTCCCATGCTGGACAGAAATGAGTTTCTGACCCAGGTGGGCTGAGAAACCCCAGAGCTGACTCAACTATCAAGTACAACTTTCCTACACATATGCAACTTAGATTAAGTTTAATTTTTAGGGCTTCTGACATGGCTCAGAGGGCAAAGGGGGCTTGCTGCCAATCCTGCTGATCTCAGTTCAATCCCAGGATTTGAAAAGCAGAGAGTAAAGACAGAGAGGCTATATCTGTCCTCCAAAACTTATTATTGCTCAGGTACACAGCCCATGCACATTAAAATAATTTAAAATGTAGCAAAATTGTAGTTCTTTTCATAAATTGGGGATAGTTAATTGTAAGGAGTACAGTTTTTCCACCCACCACCACTCTTGTCCCGCAGCACCTGCCCCAATTAACATACTGAGACTCTGTATTCGATATAATTTTGTTGGCCCGGTATTAGTTTCTTATCGGATCGCTCTGTCTTAAGTATTAACCCATTTCTGCTGATCTATGTATTTCTCTTACCGGGGAGCCGGCCGGCATACTGCTTTCTCCAGACTCTCCATCTTGACTCTTTCTTTCTATTTCTTAATTCCTCCTTGTCTCCTAGTCCCTCCTATCTTCCTTTCCTATTGACCAACAGTGCTTTATTCATTAACCAGTATGAGAAACATATACAGAATGACATCTCCCATCAGTTAATTAAGTTAGTTAATTAAGGATACTTTTTTAAAAGATTTATTTATTTATTATGTATACAGTATTTTGCCTGCATGTATGCCTCCATGCCAGAAGAGGGCACTAGATCTCATTATAAATGGTTGTGAGCCACCATGTGGTTTCTGGGAATTGAACTCAGGTCCTCTAGAGAAAAGCAGCCAACCTCTGAGCCATCTCTCCAGCCCAGCACACATTTTTTTTTTTTTTTTTTTTTTTTTTTTTTCCTGAGAGAGGGTTTCTCTGTATTGCTTTGGAGACTGTCCTGGAACTAGCTTTGTAGACCAGGCTGGACTGGAACTCACTGAGATCCACCTGTCTGCCTCCCGGGTGCACCACCAGCACCCAGCTAATAACACTATTATTATTATTAGTAGTAGTCGTCGTATTAAAGATTTATTTATTTATTTATTTATTATGTATACAGAGTTCTGACTGCATATTTGCCTGCACACCACAGGAGGACACCAGATCTCATTATGGATGGCTATGAGCCACTATGTGGTTGCTGGGAATTGAACTCAGGACCTCTGGAAGAACAGTCACTGCTCTTAACCTCTGAGCCATCTCCTCAGCCCCTAAGGACACAATTACTAAGGATACAATTTAATAAGACTATAAATGTGGTCTGTCTCAAAATATCTTTTTTTGTTGATAGTGGATTAACATAGATGTTAAATATTAAAATGTTTATAATTATATTTTGTCTATTTTGTGAGGTTATGCACAGTGTGACAGTCAGAGGACAGGGGTGTCACTCCTGTCCTTTACCATGTGGATCCTTAGGATCTACCAGGTCATCAGGGTTGGCAGCAAGTCCCTTTACCCACTGGCCCTAAATATGTATTTTGAGAGGGTATTTGCACACAGCAAAAGCTAATGCCCACACATACCTTATACTCTCGTCTTTATTTTTTTATTTTTCTGAACTTCTCAGTGCTGACTTGGCAGCTGCTGTCCCATCTCCTCTGTGTTTTCCCTCCTTCAGCCATGTGCGGAGAAGGCAACACTCCTTGAGCACCCAAGCTGATGCCTCTGTGTCCTGCTTGGATCTACCATGCAGCTTACAATGTTCTAAAGCACCCAGAACTTAACACTCTTAGGTGTCTGTGAATCTGAGGCTTCTCTAAGTGGCAGGCACATGGACAACTGTCCTCATCATCTAGCCTGGGACTTCCTGGCTTGGGTCCCAGGATTTTGTCCTCTTCATTTTGTTTTCTTTTGTTTTCTACGGGGTCTCCTCTATCTTGGCTGGCTTGGAGCTCACTTTGTAGACCAGGCTGGCTCCAAACTCCCAGAGATCCTCTTGTCTGTGCCCCACTAGCCACATTGCCAGGATGTTAAATTATGATATTAGATTATAGGTGAAGGCGGTGGTGGCACACACCTTTAGTCCCAGCACTCGGGAGGCAGAGTCAGGCAGATCTCTGTGAGTTCAAGTCCAGCTTGGTCTACAGAGCTAGTTCCAGGACAGGCTCCAAAGCTACGGAGAAACTCTGTCTTGAAAAACCAAATAAACAAACAAACAAACAAACAAACAAATAAATAAATAAATAAAAATTTAAAAATTATAGGTTGGGTCCTCAAATTCTGGGACTGAGTTTCGCACAGTTCCAGAATCAACACTCAAAATTCGTCCTCCCTCAAATACAGAATCCAGGATCCCCCAAATCCAGTAAGACAGTTCACTCTCCAGATTGTGAATCCAGGATCCTGAAATAAAGGGTCCACAATTTGGAACGCAAACTCAGGCCCCAAACCTCCCTGAAATCCAGGGTCTGTAATTTGATGGCTCTTAAATCCAGGCTCCCGGTTCCACCTTGTCCAGAGATCCACGCTCCAGAATTCCAAATAAAGCCCAATGTTCCGGGCCAAAAGTCAGCGACATCCTTTGGAATGCGATTTATTTATTTTCATTTAAAACTGGCGCCCAAATCCAGCCTGGGCGGGGACAGCGGCCCACGAATGAAGGCTAGAGGGATGGGCACAGAGCAGGGAATTCCAGGACTGAGGGTCTAGGGGTCCGGATTTCCTATTCACAGGCCTGCATTCCCAGAGCAGACAGCCAATTTGTAGCGCCCCAGGCACAGGGTGCCGGGAGGACACCCCTGCTCCGCGGTACGCTGTTGGAGGACTGTTCTCCAAGCAAGTCCGTGATTGTCATGGACCTCAGCTAACACTCCTGGAACCAGGGGTCCTTCACTCCCCAGCCCTGTGTTGGGAGCCAGTGGGATGGCTAGGCCAGCGGATCCGGGCAGTGAGGGGACACCTTGGCTACAGCTGTCACTGCAGCTGTCACCGCCCCACCCGCTCAGCGCCAAAATTTGAAAAATCGCAGGACGTTTCCCAAAGTGCACGTGGGAGGAGAGGGTCCCTCCCCATCCAGGGCACCGCGGGGTTTTCTGGGACTTAGAGTCCAGTAGTGCAGGGGTGGGGTGTACCAAGAACTCCGCCCAGTGCCGAGGGGAGAGGGCGGGAAGTCAACTTCAAGCCTTGGTGTTGCAGAGCAAAAACAATTTGGGGAAACACACTTGCTGCAACACTAACAACAAGCCCTGAGGCGCAGAGGACACCAAAGGCCAAAAGGGGTGTATGAGAGTGGCGCAATAGCAGTAAAGAAACCGAAATGGCCGCTTTGTGGGTGGAAAAGGAAAAGTTTATTCCAAACTGGCAAGGCACGCCAGGGCAAGGAGAAATGAGATGGGGGAAAATCTGGAGGGCTATAAAGAGATTGGGTACCTGGAGAGGAGAGGAACCAGTGAGCTTGAAGGGGAGATGTGGGGAGTTTTGAAATGTATAACAAGTCCTTGTGAGTCGTGCCTGGGGAAGTCTGGGGGCCAGCATGGACTTTGATGTGTTGATAGATGTCACCAGTATATAATCTGAGAGCCATATATCCCTTCTGCCAGAGGCAAAGGGAATTAATTCCTTTTGGCCGATGGGAACAGGCTTCAAAATCTCCTGAGATACTGGCTTTTATCTAACGGCCAGAAATCCTCCAGAAGTCCAGGGTGAGCTGGGTCTAAGCTCAATTTACAGTCAGTGGGCCTGCCCTTTTGTCAAGTAGGGAGGTGGAGGAAGCCGCATATCCTCTGAACCTGAGAAGAAGAAATGCGTGCAGGCCAGAGGGAATTAGATAGGAAAAATCGTATTTTTTGTCCTCCTGGAGATAAAACCTAGGGTCTAGTGCTCTTTAGATAAGCTCTCATCTTCTGAGCCATACCCTAAGCCCTTCACGGGAGATTCTAAGTATAGCTCCATCCCTCATCACACCCCAGCTCATCACTGGGAGATTCTAGGCAGGATCCAATCCTGACCTACAGCCCCAGCCCTTGTTTACATTTTATATACTAATAGCTATATTGTACAGTAGCAGATTCTTTGACACTAAGTAGCTTTTTTGGATGGGGTCTTTCCACACAGGGTTTCTCCTGTGTATAGCTCTGGCTGTTCTGGAACTTGCTCTGAAGACCAGGTTGGCCTCAAACTCACAGAGACCTGTTTGCCTCTACCTCTCAAGTGCTGGGATGAAAGGCATTCGCCACTACCACCCGGCCCTAAGTAGCTTTTAAGAGACAGAGAAGTCAGGGCATCGTGAGTTATGGCTTCAGTGGCTGGCTGAGCTGGACGTGCTAGAGGTGGATAGAATGATCGGTTGGGTTCCTAATGGTGCACTACAGGACTGTCTGGAGAAAAGCTATACCCATTAGGTCGCATTTGTAGTCTTGTTTTCTGCTATGATGTCCTTAATCTCTCCATCCTCCTGCCCCAGCTTTCCCAGTGCTGGGAAGTCCTGGAACTAGCTCTTGTAGATCAGGCTGGCCTTGAACTCACAGATCCACCTGCCGCTGCCTCCCGAGTGCTGGGACTAAAGGTGTGCGCCACCACCGCCTGAACTAAAAAAATTTTAAATTCCATTTCTTAACTGCACTTGTTTCTATACGTTTGGGGGTCAGAGGACAACTTGTATGAGTTAGTTTTCTTCTATGGAGGATCCAGGGATCTAATTTCGATCATTAGATTTGGCAGCAGGTGCCTAACCTCTGAGACATTTCGCCTGCCATCGCTTTTTGCTTGATTTTTACATTTATTTAATTTACCATTTATTTCTGCGTGTGCGTGGGCTCATGTGGAAGTCATAACTCTGCCTCCATCCCCTACCAGGGATTGAACCCGGGAGAAGGCCAGGTCCTGGAAACTACATCTCCTATCATGCAGCCTCATGGACTACCGCTCCCAATGTGCTCCGCGCCAGAATGAAGACTACAAGTCCCGGCGTAGCTGGGTAGCGGGCAGCGGCGCCATCTTCCGCGGCGCGGATTGAATGAGCCACTGCACCAGAGTAGCCGAGGGGATCTGCGCGCCACCGCCTCCGCCATGGCGTCCCTGCCGCCCCGCGCAGGGCCCGCCACGCCGCTTTCTCCCGCGCGCCTGTCTCGACTGCAGGAGAAGGAGGAGCTGCGCGAGCTCAACGACCGCCTGGCGCACTACATCGACCGCGTCCGCGCTCTCGAGCTGGAGAATGATCGTCTGCTGCTCCGGATCTCCGAAAAGGAGGAGGTGACCACGCGCGAGGTACGTAGGTCGGCACCGGAGACGCGAGGAGCCGACAGACTCTAGTGACAGGAGCAATAAGCCGAGCTCTGCCCAGTGAGGACCCTGTGGACGGGTGCAGACAGCTGAGCCCTGCCCACCGGGGACCCCAGGGACAGAGAGCTAAGCCTTGCCCAATGCAGACTCCCCTAGAGCATATGCAGACAACTAACCTCTGCCCACCAAGGGACCCCAGAAACGGATGCTTAGGCTTAAGCCCTGCCCATCAGGAGACCCCCAGGAACAATTGCAAGAGCGCAGAGCTCCGCCCACCAGGAGGGGGAGACACCCCCCACACAGGTGCAAACCACTAAGCCCCACCCACCCAGGATCTGGTGCAGACCGCTAAGCTCCGCCCAACTGGAAACCAGCAACAAGTGCAAACATCACAGCTTTGCCCACTGGGGTGGGGGAGTAGGGAATGGGAAGGGCTGGCTAGGGACTGGTGCAGATGAGTCCACATCCATCCCCCTCTGAGACTATTAGGGACAGGTGTAAACAAAGTTAGTCCCCGCCCCCTAAAGCTCCACCCACCCTGAACTGTTGGGACTGGTGCTGATGGAGCTAACCCAGGCTCACCAGAAAGAGAGCCTGAAGGACCAGTGTAGAATGAGCTAAGACACCCAATAAGAGGTGTTCTCAAGGGTCTTGGGAACCCTTCACATTGCATGAATAGGCAGGAAAGCCCTGCCCACCCAGGTCATTGGTTTAGAGGATTCCTAGGACTCCCCAGATTTATATCCAGAAACTGAGAGACCCTTGGCTGGAGGCTGTCTTGGAGACCTTTGGGCTTTGAGGATGCCTGAGGGACAGACAAGCCTGGCAAACCCCGACCTGTGGGGGCAGTTCACAGGTCTCAGGGACCCCCCCAGTAAGGGGTCAGCTGTATACTCTTCAAGGAACCCCTGAAGGACAACTCCACCCTAGGCAAAGCCATCCTTATTGGGGTTGTGAGGAGGGGTGCAGACTGAGTGGAGTCTGTAATCCTAGAGATCCTGGAGCGGGTTTTGATGGGACCCTGAAAAAAAGGTGTTGATCAGGGGCCACCCTTCAGATCAGGGGCCACTGGGTGAGGGTGCATTGGGGCAGTCCTAGGAGACCCAAGTGAGGAGTGCATTTTTGGGGGGCTGTCCTGGGCACCCTCAGGTTCTAGGGTTTGAGTGAGAGGGGTCACCAATAGACAGGATTGGGGCTGGGCAGGCTCAGCTTACTGTATGTTCAAGGATAACTATGGATGCCCCTGATGAAGGGTACCAAGAGAATAGTTCAGCAATGAATGGCATGGAGTGAGCCACCCCCCCACTCAGGACTCACTGCGGAATGTGAAGTCACTATGTAGGGCAGTATGGGAACTGCTGACATGAGCAGGGGTAGGGGGATGTGGGATATTGCCCCAGTAGTTAAAGCGACCCCACCCTCCTGTGGGGATATGGGAATGGTCTCATCTTTGAGTAGGGTCTTGTTGGGATGTATCTCAGGCAAATCATGGGATCCCTGTTCTCAGAACTTTGGATGGGTCCCAGGTGGTCAGGGTTATAACTGGGGTGGGACAAGAATGACTGTGTCCCACCAAGGTCTGTGGTGAGTGAAGGTCTGAGGAGACATTCTCATCTGCTAGGAGTCACCAGGTTACCTGGAAATGGGATGCTTGGGTGCTGTTTGCTAGACAGGCTCCAACTCCAGGGTCTGTCATGAAGGTATGGGGGCTTGTTGTATAAGATCCACAAGGTATTTGGAGATTCTATATGGGCCCAGGACTTTACCCACTCAAGGGACAGGAGGGTGTATCATCAGGACCCCTAGATGGCTCTTGGATATAGGGGGAGGACCCTGGCCTCAGATATGAACTACTATCTGAGGGGCTGAGGGACAAGGTCAGGATGGAGCCCCACACTCTTGCCTTTCTGTGTGACCGTACAGGCAACTCAGTGTCTTGGCGCCACAGTGTTGCAATCTATGCAGAGGAATGGCAGTATCGCCACCCGTAGCAGGGTCACCTGCCTGGACAGCACTTGGCATTCTAAGACCAGGGTGGCTTGCATGTGTGTACATGTGCGTGGAGACCAGAGGTCAACTTTGGGTGTCTCCATCAGTCTTTTTTTTTTTTTTTTTAAAGATTTACTTATTTATTTATTTTGATTTTTCGAGACAGGGTTTCTCTATGTAGCCCTCGCTGTCCTGGAACTCACTCTGTAGACCAAGGTGGGCTGGAATTCACAGATATCCGCCTGATTCTGCCTTGAGTGACCTCTATATCTGGCTTGCCGCCTTGTCACCGCCCTCCCCCTCCTTTTTTTTTTAATTCAGTTCACTGACCTAGAGCTTGTTGGTTCAGCCAGGCCAGCCATCAAGCAAGCCCCAGCCATCCTCCTGTCTCTGCCATCACAGTGCTGGCAAACTTGTTATTGGTACCAGGGATCAGGACACACGCCCTCCCTCAGGCTTGTACGCCAGACACCCTGCTCACTGAGCCCTCTCCCTGCTCTGCCTGTTTTATTGTTACCTTTGGAGCCCTTCTGTCATACAGTTGGAGCTTCTGGGCTCTTCAAACTTTTGTGGTGCCAGCCCTAGTGGACGCCACCTGTCCATGTGGGTGTCAGAATCATGATCCACTTTTGCTTCTCGTTTTTGCAAGCGTGGTAGGAGCACAGGGCTGATTTGGGGCTTGCATGTGAGCCAGGGTGGCTAGCAGCAGGTGGCAGGCACACTGCCCTTCTGGGAGCCAGCCTGCCTAGTTTCAGGGTCTAAGATGCCTGAGGACAGCTGGCAGGGTGGCCAGGGGAACCACAAAGGATGCCACACAGGCGGCACATGCTCCAGCTGTCAGGGTTGCCTTCCGGACAGCTTGGCAGGGTGTAGGGACAGGTGTGGGTTGGGAGACACACAGGCACCTAGTGGGTGTTGCCTGGTGGGGATGGGTCTGCCTCAAGAAGTCATTTGCCATCCTGTTGCAGCTGAGATGTGGGGGAATGACAGGGGCATATAAGGAAGACTTTGAAGGGGCCATTGAAGGCTGGTGACCACTGCCAGCTGGGAACATGTGCTGACCTTGCCTTCCTATCACACTCAAGCCATGAAGACTCTCGCCTTTCCTTCAGTCTTACCCAGAACTGGGGCCATGTGTGGCTTTTGTATGGTACAGAATGGCATCAGGGTCATCAGACGATGATACAGACATTGGTGTCTGTGATGGGTTGGTTGTGGAGACTGAGCTGTCCGGGGAGGTGGTGCTTGGAGAAAGGTTTGAAGGTGTTTGGGGATGGCAGGGAGGCTGGGCTATAAAGTTCCCCATAAGGAAACCCAACCTCATCTCCTTGAGTCTGGTGTCCTGTTGCTGGGCTTGTATGCCTGGCAGATAGGGAGTCTTGGAGGGGCAAAGCTCCCCAGTCAAGGATACTGGGCATACCTGGCAAAGGCCACCTCAGGTCATCGGATCCCATGTGCATAGCAATGCTCCAGAAACCCCTGCCAGGCTCCACTTGTCCCCATCGGGTGGGGCTCACGGGGCTTGCCAGCAGTTTTTCTGGCTCCCCACAGCCCACCATGTGGTCTCTGTGACTAAGCAGTGTGGCATCTACCTGAGACCATGTGCCAATAAAGCTTTATTGATGAGTGCTGCCTATTGTGGCCATAGACTCACCTGCCCTGTTCCAGACACTGCCTTTCATCCTAGCACTCAGGAGGCAGAGGCAGAGGCAGATGGAACTCTGTTAGTTTGAGGACAGCCTGGTCTACAGAGTGAGTTCCAGGACAGCCAGGACTATACAGTGAGACCTTATCTCAAAAAAATACAAATACAAATACAGAAGCCATCTTAGGTAGGCTCAGGTAAGGGTTGCAAGTGGCCTGCAGGTCTAGAGTAGACCAGGCTGGCCCACCCATGGGGTCTAAATGGAAAAAGTTGTGGACAGGCCCATGGTTCATGCTTTTGCCTGGTTCTCTGTGTCCTTTCTGCTCCATGGCCCATCCAGGAGCCAACAGAACATGGGTCGGTGCAGACTCCTATGAGTGAATTAATCTTCCTGCTTCAGCTTCTGCACCGCTGGGGTGACAAGTGTACATCACTGTCACCGTCACCATATTTCTCCTTCTGACACGTGTGGCAGTCCAGTGGTCACCTCCAGTGCTGTTTTCCTTAGGAGCTGTTGTGTTCTGTCTGCCCTGAGGCCTGGCAAGTGTGCATCCTGTAAAGAAGTGACCTGGCAAGCCGGGCAGTGGGGGTGCACGCCTTCAATCCCAGCAGAGGCAGGCAGAGCCTGGTCTACAGAGCTAGTTCCAGAACAGGCTCCAAAGTCACAGAGAGACCCTGTCTCGAGGAAAAAGAAGAAGACGTGACCTGGCAGGTTTAGGGGCGTGTGTGTGAGTGTGTGTGTGTGTGTGTGTGTGCTCACAGCTGGGTGGCCAGTTCTGTGGTCACAAACACAAGGTACCTGAACCCCCCCAGTGCATGTTGAGCTTGTGCACCTCCAAAGTCGAACTTCAGTTAAATGTAGTACATTAGATCTGTGTAGCTTCACTCTTGTAGAATGTTCTAGAACAGTCTGTTACTCACAAGGAAGGGTGGGGGTGGTCTCTGTGTGTGGGGAACCCCTGCGGATGGGTGGGGGTGGTCCCTGTGTGTGGGGACCCCTGCGGATGGGTAGGGGCCTCTTTGAATGTGGACCACAGGCAGCTCAGGGAGAATGTTCTTATCTAGGTGTCCCCTGAGGGCCCTAGGTCTCCCAACCTTCATCCTCATGGGGTGGGATGCAGAAACGGAAGGCCTCATGTTGGCCTGATTAATGGAAGGCAGATTCAGGGATCCCCATAGTGGCCTAATAGGTACAGGAGTGTGACTTTGCAGAGCCCCACAGAAGGCTCCCTGTGGACTCAGGCATTACCTAGACCACATGTGAATGATCAGAGATAAAACACCTTGGACCAGGAGTTCTAAGTGGGGTGCTACATGTCTGTTGACTCAGGTGAGGGCAGGGATGTCCTGCAGCAGAGAATCATGTGGTCCCCAGCTGATGGTGCCAGGTGGGCTAGCCTTGGCTAGCTCTTCCCACCCAAGCCCCAAGGTCCTGTGGTGCGACCTTGCCTCCTGGCAGGCTAAGCTTATAGAGAAGGAATGATGGCTCCTCCCAGAAAGAGCCCAGGTGTTTCTGAACATACAAGATGGTGACAGAGGGTTGGTGAAGGGCAGCTCTGTGACTCCTCTGTCGATCCCTGCCCTGTCTCCCCAGGTGAGTGGCATCAAGGCCCTGTACGAGTCGGAGCTGGCTGATGCCCGGCGGGTGCTGGATGAGACGGCCCGGGAGCGTGCGCGGCTGCAGATTGAGATGGGGAAGCTGCAGGCTGAGCTGGATGAGGCCAGGAAGAGGTGGGTAGTCTGGCTGGGGGGACCCAGCTTGGTGGGTGAAGTGCTCGCCCCACAGGAGTGAGGATGAGTTCAGATCCCACAACCCACTGGCAATGCCAGCACTGGGAAGACAGGGGCAGGTTCTCCTCAGAGTGAGCTGGCGAGCTAGACTAGCCACGGTGCAAGCTGGGGTTCAGTGAGAGACCTGCCTCCATCAGGAATGTGGAGAGCAATTGAGGAAGGACCACCAACATTGAATTCAGATCTCTACACATACACACATGTAAACATGAGAACACCTATCAGATTTAACCAGAAAAATCAATGACTGTGCCTGGGCAGGTGCTAGCCCTTGGGCAAACAGCTCACAGTTGATCTGGAGCCGCTCGGTAGCCCCTTAGGCCTCCAGAGGTGGAGACAGGATAACTGGGTTTGAAATGGAGTTCCGAGTCCACCAGCTTGGAGCTGCTGCATGTACACACGCTTGTTGAGACCATAGGCATCTCGGGACAGCTGTGAGGCCCCTCTAGGGTTGTGTGCCTTCACAAACATGCTGCCCTAGGGACAGTAGGCCCAAGATCCCTCACTGCTCTCTTTAGCCTGCATGACTGTCCCTGCGGGGGGAGGGGGGTCTCAAGTGTGTCCCTCACCATCTCCCTGTGCCTAACAGGCTCTGGGCACTGTACTGGGGCTGCAGGTCCACCCAGGATGGTGGCAGGAGAATGTTGACATGGCAGAGTGGCTGGCTAGGCACCAGCCTTGGCATGTGCTAAGTGTAGAATTCAGGTCCTGCTTCTACTGGAGACATCACAGTCCTCAGAGCAGGTCGGGGTAAAAGGGACCCCTGCATAACCCCCCTCCCAGTCCACAACTGGCTCTACCGAGATACCCACTGCTGGTGGTACTGTTTCAGAACGGTCACTTTCCAGATTTGCCCAAGTTCTGTCCCTGTCAGGACTCCAGTGGCCATTGGACCTTCTTCCTGGTGGCCCCAAGCCAGGGAACACAGGCCTGGCCTCTGTGAGTTGACCCATCTGGTTCTTTGGTGGCAGCACCTGAGCTGGCTGCCAGGCTGTCTGCCCCAATGCCTGACGCTGCCTAAGCTGGTGTGTTGGAGCCTGCGGGTGTCCACAGACTCCAGGCCACATCAAAGGTGGGTGAGCAGTCAGGGCCTCTGTGCCAGCCACTCAGTGCATCTAGTGCAGAATCTCAGTGGGAGATTCCTGCCTGGGTGGTTATGTCCACAGACCCCCATCCCAAAATAGGTTTGCATTCCACAGATTGGATCTTGGCATCTTAAAAAATATATTTATTCCCTGTCTCAATCCCCCCCCCAAAGGAAAATATTTATTTATTTATTCATTTATTTATTTGAGATGGTCTCATGTATCTCAGGCTGGCTTTAAGCTCTCTATGTAGCCAAGGATAGCCTTGACCTTTGGTTCACAGTATTAGTGAGGCTGGCTTTCCCTGCACCCTGAAGACTCACCTTCAGGTGCACAGAATCCCGATGCCCTCCGGTAGCCTTGTGTACCTTACGCAGAGCAGGTGAAGTGCTCCCACACGGTGATCTGGGAGTTGTCGCACCCTGCCAGTCTTGGGAGATGGGCCATTGCAGTCCACAGTAGTCAGTGGAGCCTTGCCTTTGAGATCGGTTAGGAATTCCCCAGTTCCCCACTCATCCCTCTTCGGGACTCTTTGCTGGTCTCTCCAGCATGCCGTACCCCAGGGCCTGTGGCCCTGCCTCCTCCACACTTCTCCTCTTCAGGCCACATGGTCCTCGCTATCTGGCTGGGGCTCTCTGAGTACATGGCTACACCCCCGCCCCCCCCCCCCCCGATAGTCCTCTCCAGGCTCAAGATGACAGAGGCTACTTGACCCAAGCTGAGGCGGGGTCCTTCCGTGTCCCACACCTACACTCAGGCAGGCACAGTAGGGAGTAACCTGGTGTCCCCGAAAGTCATGGTAGCTTAGCCACCGGTGCCACCCATCTCCCCACACCCGCCTGTCACATGCTGACCCTGGCAAAGCTGAGGTATCTGTTTTGCTAATGCCTGCCTCTGCCATCTTGACTGTGCTGTGTGGTAGGGAAGGTGGTCTGCTTAATAGCTTTACCAGGACAGATTTTCCTTTGTGACTTTAATGAATTGCAGCCAGTGCTGCTGTGGGCCCCTCCCAGAGCTGGCTTTTATAGGCAGCTGGGTAGGGTGGGTGCCTTCAGCCATGACAAATATGATTGGTGTCATAAGGGCCACAATGTCCAGGGCTTTGGTTGGATTGGGTTTGAGTTTGCTAGTGTTGTTTTTGGGACAAGGTCTCACTCTGTAGACCAGGCTGGTCTTCAACTTGAAGGCTCCTTTCTGCCTCAGCTTCCCAGGTGCTGGGAAGGCAGGCAGTCAACCTGTAGTTGACAGGGACTGTGGTGATGTCCCTGGAGCTTCTGACCACTCACCCTCCTTCCAGTGCCAAGAAGCGGGAAGGTGAGCTCACAGTGGCTCAGGGCCGCGTGAAGGACCTGGAATCCCTGTTCCACCGGAGCGAGGCAGAGCTGGCCTCAGCCCTCAGTGACAAGCACGGGCTGGAGAATGATGTGACGGAGCTCCGGGCACAGCTGGCAAAGGTGGGTTTGGCAGCTGCTGGTGTCTGGGCTTTCCAGTTGACATGGAGAAGATGAGGTGGCAGCCAAGCCGAGTAGCCGTCCCTTCAGCTCACTGCCCTGTGTCTCCCAGGCAGAGGATGGTCACGCTGTGGCCAAGAAACAGCTGGAGAAGGAGACACTGATGCGTGTGGACCTAGAGAACCGTTGCCAGAGCTTGCAGGAGGAGCTGGGCTTCAGCAAGAGTGTGTTTGAGGAGGTGAGCATCAAGCAAGCCAACACCCTCCCTGAGCCCTGGAGCCCACCCCTTCCACAGGGCCTCCTCCTGGCACCTGCTCCAGTAGCCAGGGGTCTATGCTGTTGTTCTTTGCTACGGCTTCAAGCGATGAGACAAGATCCACCAAACTCAACAAACCCACAAGGAGTTTATTGGGAAAGGGAGCAGAGAGAGAGAACAGGTGGGAGGCGCTTGCTTATATAGAGAGTGAGGCTCAGCACTCAGAGCTGTTGAAACTGGAGTCATGGAGCTGCCGTTGGCCCAGCTCCACGTGGCCTCTGCATGCAGAGTCCCTATGCAGCCACTTAACACACAACGTAGCCATGCAACCTTTGACAGCCTTTGATCTGTCATCGAGGAGTGATCACCTGTCAAAGATAGATCCTGGGGTGAGTGAGGGAAGGTAGCCCAGAGAAGAGCAATCCCGGGGCGGGGAGAAGGCCCAGTCCCAGGAGAGGGCCTGCGTGGATTGGCGGGCAGGCGCTGAGAAGAAACCACAGCAGGAGGAGAGGAGTTGGGAGCAGGAACCGGGCCTGGTTGCCCAGGATGTGCAGAGAGGGAGAAGCCAGGGTATCAGTGTATACTTCATGTCTGCATCTGTCCCTCTTGCATTTTGTTTTGTTGTTTTCTGTGTTTCTTAGTTTCCTCCAGGGTGGGAGGAAGGGCCAGGCTTCAGTCGATGAATTCAGGCCCTCAGACTTGGTGTTAGCCACCTTCTCAGGGGCCATCTTGCCAGTGGGGTGTCTCTTCACACTGGTCCCTGGATTTCCAGGCCATCTGAGCCATTGAGAATATCAAATCAAAACATGTAACAGCTGGGCATGGTGGCTGTGCCTTTAATCCCAGCATGGGGGTGGGCAATGGTGGCTGTGCCTTTAATCCCATGGGGGTAGGCAGAGGCTAGCAGACATCTGAATTTGAGGCAGAGTCAGGCGATGTCTAAAGATCTACTACTGGTCTCTGGGGCGAGTTCCAGGACAGCCAGGGCTATACAGAGAAACTCTGTCTTTACAGACTAAAGAATCAGATGGTTCAGTGGGTAAAGGCATGTGCTGCCAAGATTCACAATCCAAGTTGTACCCCTGGAAACCACATGGTGGGAGAAAACTGACCCCCACAAATTGTCCTCTGAATTCCACAGCTGTGTCATGGAACAGTAACATCCCCCACAAATATACACACATAAAATAAATGTAAAAGAAGCTTAACTTTGTCTACTTAAGGTCACCACCCCAGGTCTGGGGGGGTCAGGATGTGGCCCTGGGTTTTGGAGACCTCATTCAGCCAACCTTGAGATAATCGCCCCTGATGTCTGGGCCTCCAGCACTTTGGGGTACTGGGTATGGTGGGGCTAACTAGGCCTCGATGAAGATCTGCCCCACAGGTTCCCAGGGAACTCAGCCATCACAGAGCCCATTGTGTCATCATAAACCAGGGTAGTGTGCCTGGGTTGGGCTGGGCCAGGCCCCTGCCTGTGGTCACTGCTCAGGGAGAGCTTGGACAGGAGAGTCCCAATGGGGCCACAAGCAGCTCTAGCCAGGGCTAATGAGGGGCTCTGACCTCAGGAAGGAACCCACAGAGAGACCTGAGCCGGTAGAACTGGATTCTGGCAAGGGACCTGGGGAGAGTCCTGTTTGAGAATAGAAACTCATGGGAGAATCGGAATCCATGAGGGGAGCTGGAGAGGGTCCTAAGAGCACGTTCGTGGCAGACCCCAGTCCTGTGGAGGGACCCCTGAGGCAGGCCAAGCCTGCAGAGGGACCTAAGAGAGTGTGGCTGATAGCAGCCAGTCCTGTGGACGGAGGGGTGCGAGAGCTCAGCCCAAGACCCCTGAGGGAGTGCGTGAAGCGACGCCTGACAGGGCATCCGAAGACCCCTATGAAGGAAGCATTCGGGGACCCTGGGAAGCCACACTCCAAAGGAGCTCTCGGGGCTCCCAGCACCTGGAAAAGCCACCTCCAGGTCCCCACAAGGGAGCGGACGAGGGGTGCACAGCCAGGAGCCGCCTCTCAAACAGCCATTTGGGGCACCAGAAAGGTGTGTGTTCTGTCAGAAGCCAGTGGCAGGCCATTGTGTCCTAGATCCCTTGTGAGAGTCCATTTTGTGGAAAACTAAGATCTACCTGGATGGTAGTGATGCAGCACACCTTTAATCCCAGCACTCTGGAGGAAGAGGCAGATGGATCTCTGAGTTCAAGAACCAAATTCTGGGAGAAACTCTGTCTCCAAGAAAAAAGAAAAAAAGATCCACCCACGTTGGTCCCCACTCTGCACACGCACCTTCTTCCTGTGGAAGCTGTAAAAACAGCCACTCCTTCCCACTGTGTCCCACTCCTATCCTGGACTGCTCTGCTGTCTCCTGGATCTAGAACTCCAGGCACCTGGGTGGGCTCCTCAGTGTCTGCCTTAGAAGGCTTTTGTTATTGTTTGGAGACAGGGTCTCACTGTGTAGCCCTGGTTAGTCTGAAACTCACCACGTAGACTAGGCTGGCCTGGAACTCCTATAGATCCTCCTGCCTCGGCCTCCTGAGTGCTGGGGAAGAACAGCTGTTACAAGATGTCATCCTTAGCTGTCATACTTTTTGTTTTTCAAGACAGGGTTTCTCTGTAACCTTGGCTGTCCTGCATCTCACTCTGTAGACCAGGCTGGCCTTGAACTCACAGAGACCCACCTGCCTCTGCCTCCTGAGTGCTGGGACTAAAGGCGTGAGCATCACCATAGCCTAGCCCTTTAAAAATATTTTAAGACAGGGTCTGACTATGAGCCCTCAAGGCTGGCCTTGAGATTGCAGCCATCTCTTGCCTTTGGCTCTGGATGCTGAGATCTGTTAACCACACTGAGGCCTTTTGTGCCTGGGTCTCTCTCAGCCCTTCTAGCTTCGTCAGGGTCCCTCCACGCTGTTGACTGTGTCAGAGCCTTCCTTGCTCCTGATTGTACAGTGTGAGCATAGCCAAGACTGATGTCCATCATGGCTGGAGCATTCACACAGTTGAGCATTGGTGAACAAATAACCAGGAGGCCACCTGAAGCTGCAGCTTGACACCCCTAAGTCATTGGCTTGTCCCCTCCTAGGAGGTGCGGGAGACCCGACGGAGGCATGAGCGGCGCTTGGTGGAGGTGGACAGCAGCCGGCAGCAGGAGTACGACTTCAGGATGGCACAGGCCCTGGAAGACTTGCGCAGCCAACATGATGAGCAAGTGCGGCTGTACCGGCTGGAGCTGGAACAGACTTATCAAGCCAAGGTGCATTTGTGGTGAGGAGAAGAAAGGGGAACCCCATTCCCTACCACCCGTGTTCACACTCCCCGTCTCTCCCAGCTGGACAATGCCAAGCTGAGCTCGGACCAGAACGACAAGGCAGCCAGTGCAGCACGTGAGGAACTCAAAGAAGCCCGCATGCGCGTTGAGTCCCTCAGCTACCAGCTCTCAGGCCTCCAAAAGCAGGTGACAGGATCCAGCCCTGCCCCCAAGGGCCTCTGCCATGCCTCTGTCACTCCAGTCCTCCCCTCCCAACCTACCCTCTCCGAGTCCCTCACATCCAAGGCTGCAGAGGCTACACTATGACCCCGACACGCCTTCCAGGCCAGTGCTGCAGAGGACCGCATCCGTGAGCTGGAGGAAGCCGTGGCTGGGGAGCGCGACAAGTTCCGCAAGATGCTGGATGCCAAGGAGCAGGAGATGACTGAGGTGCGCGATGCCATGCAGCAGCAGCTGGCCGAATACCAAGAGCTGTTGGACATCAAGCTGGCCCTGGACATGGAAATCAGTGCCTATCGCAAGTTGCTGGAGGGCGAGGAGGAAAGGTGGGCGGGGCCAGGAGTGGGCTGAGCTCCAGGAGTGGTCTGGGTGGCAGGTGAGCTGGGCTCCTGAGGTCTAGCGTCACTTGACACCCTCACTTGTCCCGCTACAGGTTGAAGCTGTCCCCCAGCCCATCTTCCCGAGTCACTATCTCTAGGGCCACCTCGAGCAGCAGTGGCATTAGCATGTCAGTGGGGCGGGGCCGGGGCAAGCGCCGTCGACTGGAAACCGAAGATACCCAGGGCTCCCGCAGCACCAGCTCAGGCTCAAGCATGGGAAGCAGCTCTCGCCTGGCCCAGCAGGCAGCGGTCCCGAGTGTCGTGACCATCGATGAGGTAGACCTGGAAGGCAGGTTCGTGCGTCTCAAGAACTCCTCGGACAAGGTGAGAGAGGGGCTGAGCGGCTGGGGCCCATGCTTCTATCCCTATGGTGGCGGTCAAGAGCATGTCTGGGTTTCAGGACCAGGCTATGGGAAACTGGAGGATCAAGAGACAGGTCCTGGAGGGTGAGGACATTGCCTATAAGTTCACGCCGAAATACGTCTTGCGGGCCGGCCAGACGGTCACGGTAGGTGCCAGTGTGAGGTTTGTGGATTCCACATTTTCTGAGACCAGCCCGGCCACTGAGTTGCCATGTGTGGCTGCCACACCCTCAGGATACCCTAGTGTCCAAAGTGTGGTTCTCCTTGAGTACTCTGGGCCACTGTGAACCTGAGGTGACTGACAAGGGCCATCTTGGGTTCTCAGGTGTGGGCAGCTGGTGCAGGGGTCGTCCACAGCCCCCCATCAACCCTTGTGTGGAAAAGCCAGAGCAGCTGGGGCTCTGGGGAGAGCTCCCGCACTGTCCTAGTCAACGCAGATGGAGAGGTAAGATCTCATAGCAGCATGAAATCGGGTCCTGGCACCTTTCCCTCACAGCAGCTGTGACTGAGCTGAAACCTGGGGTGGCCTCTTAGTGGGGTGCAGCCACCAGTATCAAGGTACTAAGTACACTGGTGACCCTTGTTGTGTAGGAAGTGGCTGTCCAGGCCATGAAACAGTCATCCATTCAGGTGAGCGAGAACGGGGAGGAGGAGGAGGAAGAGGCAGAATTCGGCGAGGAGGACCTTTTCCACCAGCAGGTAGAGCATGGGGCATCACACCTAGTGGGGCTTTGGGTCCAGGTGCCACGGCTGCCTCAGGACTGTACCCACCCCATGTGGGTCCTGCGACACCACAGACCTCAGTGGTCACGAGCCTGAACCTTCAGCCAGGACACATTCTCAGCTGGTGGTGGGAAGACAGACAGGGTGCCAGCTGGGGACAAATGGAAGACACGCTGATGGGTCTCTGCAGCCCATCTCAGTCGCCTAACTCAATCCCTCACTCCTTGCAGGGGGATCCGAGGACTACCTCAAGGGGTTGCCGGCTGATGTGAAACCTGCCCCATGGTCACCAAGATCCTCAAAGTCCCTGAGATTATTTTTTTAGTCAGCTTTCACTAGTCCTTGATACATTTCTAAATGACTGTTAAGCGACCTTGAGAATGTGGGTAGCCTCTGCTGGGTTCCTAGAGGTGGGTATGTGCCTGCAGGCCTCACCCTCTCCACTGTCACCTTGTTTGATACGGAGACCTGGGCCAGGAACTGCAGGCTGAGGGACTTGGGCCTAAGGCCAATCTGGGAGGGGCAGGAGCCTGATGGCTGGCTCATGGACCTAGGGTGAGACTGCAGTGATTCACTAGTTGAGTTTTCTTTGAAGATTCTTAAATCAAACCAAATTCAGAATCCTGGTTCCAGAGGGCTGTGGTGATCAGTAGCCTGTCAGGATTTAGTGGCTACACAGGGTAGACCCTCCATCCCTGGGGTTGGTGATGTAAAGGAAGCACCTGAACCCAGGGGGTCTCCAGCTCTGTACCCTGAGCATGAAGGCTCTGTGATAGTTCCCAGCCTCAGGGTGTCTCAGGCATCTCTGGGCTTGGATTCCACAACAATCTAGTCCCTTCTAAAGCTGAGGACCAAGAAGGAGGATGCTCACATATTGGACAACTCCTTCTTTCTTAAGATTGTCACTCTGGTAGACTGGAGGACAGACAGATCATGGGTGCTCTACCTTCAGAAGCAAAGGCTGTGGGTTCCCAGCCAGTGACTGCTCACAGCAATGTGGCAAAGCCAGCTGTACTCATGGTCCTGTGCATACACTCTGCATGGTCCCTCTGTGCCCCACCCTGCTGGCTTGGCCTGGATGCTTTCTGCAGTGGAACATAGTTCCACAAGCTCCAAGTACCAGCCAGCTCACACCTGTCACCTTCATCTCCCTACCATAGACACACGGTATTTTTTTAACGGATATTTATTTTTTTACATCATTAATGCAGCTCTCTGAGACTCTGCTCTGGGGGTTCAGGCCCAGGGCTGCCACAGATGGAGATCACCCTACCTTCATTCAGTTTCCTTTACTGAGCCACGAGGGGTGCTGCCTCTCCTGGCACAGCCGGTGGTAGGAGTAAGTTAGGCCCACTCTCCCCATAGCAAGAGCCACAGAATGCCACTACTGCCACTAACCCCCAGAACCCACCAGCCACCTCCTGCTTCTAGATACCTCGGTTTCCTTTAAGTGATAGGTGTTGGATTCTGGACTGTCTCCAGTTGGTTCCTGGATGGTCGGGGCAGGCTGCAGTCTCCACACAGCTCCGTTGCCTTGCCCATAGGGCAGGTGTCCTCGGGTGCACCCGGAACTAGAGCTGGCTTCCTTGTGTTTGAGGAACGGGACTGGAGTAGCTAGCAGTCCCTAAGGGGTCCTGTTCTGGCTCCTGCAAGCTAGGCGATTCCAAGGGTGGCACTGCGGCTTGGAAGCAGCCTGCATTGCGCGCATCGCTCAGATTTACAGGTTGTTTATTTCCTGAGATGCATGCCAAAAGTGTGTTCCGCCTTTTTTTTTTTTCCTCCCTGCTATGATTTGTAATATACATTTTACGACTGGAAACTTTTGTACACTCAAATAAACAGTTTGATTTTAACCACAGCCTCAGTCTTGATCCTCAGCCGCCGCCCGCACTCCCTCCCCACAACCCCCCTCCCCCAACACATACACAAAGCGGAAAGCGCCTGCGAGAATTTCCTGCTGTAGTGTGAGTGCCTGGGCGCCGCGGTGACTGCTCTGTGATCCTGGACCAGCCCAGTCAGTTTGCTCATGCGGAAAAGTGCACAGCCTTTGGGGGTTGTAGTCTGGGTTTCATTTCCGACGATACTCAAATGGACTGGGCTGTAGGACAGCGCGCAAAGGCCTTGTGGGAATTGTAGTACTGAGTGTCCCACAGCACTGCGGGAGATCACTTAGCGTAGCGCGCATGGACTTGTGGGAGATGTAGTTTGACTCGTTACCATGGAGGCTCGGGTCACAGCTTCCTGTCAGACTGGTGACCTCGCGTGCAGACTTGTGGGAACTGACGCGGCCTTCACTTCTCGTAGTGCCCCGGCTTCCGGCGCCTTCCGGGTTGGCGCGCGCGGCCGCGGCCCGGTTTACTGCGCAGCAATGGAGAGCGGCTTCGGCTCGGACTTCAGCGGCACGGGCAGCGGGAAGCTGGACCCGGGAGTCATCATGGAGCAAGTGAAAGTGCAGATCGCCGTGGCCAACGCACAGGAGCTCCTGCAGGTGCGGGGCGTGCCGGGGTTGGTGACGGGGTCCCCCTGGGTGGGTCCCCGCTGAGGCCTCGCGTGTGTCCACAGAGGATGACAGACAAATGTTTCCGGAAGTGCATCGGGAAGCCCGGGGGCTCCTTGGATAACTCGGAGCAGGTGAGACTCCCCGGGAACCTCGGGATGATGGGGGCGCAGGGTAACGAGCTTCAAGGAGTAAGGGATTTAGCGCGTGGGTAACCTGGAGCCGCGGCCTAGTGAGGAGTTGTGCGCGTGTGCGCTGAGGAAAAGTGCTTCTGCGCATGTGTATTTGTAGTCCTAGTGGATGGTCCGGGGTCATGACCCTAACCCAATCTGGAGTCCCCGTCCTCGCTCTGCAGAAATGCATCGCCATGTGTATGGACCGCTACATGGATGCCTGGAACACCGTGTCCCGCGCGTACAACTCTCGACTGCAGAGGGAACGAGCCAACATGTGACCGACACCTGTGCCTCGGGACACCGTATGCTTGCTCATGATCAGAACTGTTTCTCCATTCACAAGGGCGGCTCCTGTCCTACGGCCCCAAAGTCTGGCAGCATGGAGGGCTCAGGAGTTGAGGCCTCTCCCCTGGGCTGCTGTGCCTAGCCCAGTCTTAAAAGAGTGAGGACTGGTTTGAGCTCGGGGATCTGCCTGCCCCCACCTGAGCTGTGACCTAAGAGCAGCCCAATAAATCGCTGCTGGGACAGAGAAGCTGGTGTATCATCTTTAGCTTCAGGTCCCCTCCCCAGAGAAGGCCCCAGCCTCCCAGGGTAACTTTCCCTTTGTGTTCGTGGCCTGCCACACGGTGCCGCCGCCACCCCCAAACAAGAAGGGAGTGACCTTGAGCATGACTGAGTGTGGTTTCAGGAGCCCACCAGCTCTCCCCTTCTACACCATAGGCTTATTTAATTCATAAGTATAATTATGTGACTGTCATGGCTGGCTTGGGGACTAGCCTAGGATACACAGTGTGGCTTCATGGCTGTGTAGGGCTCTCAACCTGTCTTGCATGAGACCCAGAGTGCCATCCCCCAGCTCTACATAACCAGGTGTGATGCGTGCCTGTTATGGGGGGGAGGGGTGGACAGGGACAAATTTGAGGTTAGCCTTGAGTACATAAGTCCCTGTCCCACAAAAACAAAGACGCCAATGGGGCTGGGTCGGATAGCCTCTGTTGCTGAGACACAGGTCCTGAGCCAGAGCAAGCAGAAGAGACTGTTTATTGGGACAGTGTACACAGCCGGCCACACTAGTTCCCATCAGAGTTCCATGCTTGTCTGCCACCATGTGGGTTGAGTGGTGGGCAGCTTGGCCTCCGTTCCGGGTTTGGGTCACACGACGGTCACTCCTGGATGTTCTGGCCTATCCATCCTAGCACGGCAGCCACTCGAGTGTAGACACCTGGAAAGTGGGGCCTGCCACAGCCATAGCCCCAACTGGTGACCCCAGTTAGCACCCACTGGCCAGATGGCTCCCTGCAGGCCAGGGGTCCCCCTGCATCACCCTGAAGAAAAAAGTGCTCTCAGGCCAGCAGCCCTTGGGACCAGGAGGGACCCCCCACATGAGAAAATGCCAAGGAGCCTCATTTTTGCCATTGTAAAATGAGTTTAGTGCTATGCTATTGTATTTCTAATGCCTCTGGCTTCGGCCTTTGCCAAGTCCATATCCCCAGGACTGTGTATGTATGTGTGTGCGCGCATGCGTGCGTGCACACTCATGAAGGCCAGAGTAGGGTGTTCTCCATTCCATTTAAGTGGGGACTTTTATGTGACCCTGGAAGCAGATGCTCACCATCAAATCCCAGTCAGCCTCTGTCTCACCTGAATAGAATGGGGTTACAGGTACTCAGCAGTGACCTTGGGCTTTTGTATGCCTGCTGGTGATCTGAGCTCAGATCCTCATATTAGTATAGCAAGCAGCGTAGAAACAGTGATTTCCCTGTACTTGGGAGGCTGTTATGGGTATGTGTTGTCATTGAGGCAGGTTCTTGCCTCAGAATTACAGTAGTCTTCAGTCCCCCAGCTTTGAGCAACCATGCCCTCCCTGCCTGGACCCTCAGGTAGAATGTGGAGCTGAGAAACCTTAATACTGTCTTTGAACAAGCGCTTGTAACATGTGATATCACCAGAGTTGAAAGGTGGCAGGGCTTAGCCAGGCGGTGGTGGTGCACACTTTAAATCCCAGCGCTTGGGAGGCAGAGGCAGGTGGATCTTTGTGAGTTCAAGGCCAGCCAGGAATGTCACACAGAAACCCTGTCTAAAGAAACAGAGTCCTGTGTCTGTCCAACTCACCGAGCAGCTGTCCACGCCGCCCTGTGGGAAACCTGCACACAGCATACGGCTGCTAATTTGCACAGGGTAGAAGCGCCTACACGTCTGCTCACTGAGGATGCGAACTGCTGCCTTCTGCAACTGCCGAGCCATGGAGCCTGCTGGGCCGAGGGAGTGGGTGGGGGCGAGTGCCCTATGCCTCCCACCCCCTGTGCCATCCCCTCCACGATGCGCATGCCTACCTCCCTCACGAAGAGAACCCCAGCCAGTGATGACGCAGCGCGCGCCTTCGGGGGGCCGCGCAGGCCCTGGCAGGCAGATGGGTGTCACCAGGCGGCTACGTCGCACAGGACCCGCCAACTCCAGCAGCGCTATGTCGTAGTCCAGCGTGTAAAGGTTGTAGAATGGGTGGCGGTAGATGCGCACCACGCGTTTCAGCTGGCCCTCAGCGCCGCTCAAGAATGGGGTGCCCAGGAAAGCTGCCCACTGCATAGGGTCACCATATCTGCAGGGTGCACATGTAGGCAATCACCCGTCTGGTGGAAATGTCCCCCTACCCAACTTGGGTTCACTCAGCCACAAGGAGTGCCCCTCTGAAAGGACACCACCAACTGGCACCATATCCATAACTGAGGATGGTCCTCACCCTGGCCCCCATACCCTCGAGAGGCCTGAGACAAGGCTCCTGACCTCTGTAGGCCACCCAGTGGAAACAGGTCTACTGTACACACACACACACACACAAGCACACTAGTGACAGGGATCAGCACAAGTGCCAGGGACCACCAGCCTCCCCATTTCTACTCGAGCTCCTAGCATTCGACCCTCCAGATAGAGCCCCTGCCCCAGAACTTCAGACGCAGCGTGGGACCATCTGTCCCATTCACCCTATGCCCCACATTGGCCATCCCCTTAAGGAACTGCACCCTGCACATCCAGCACCCTGCCAGGGAGAATTTGCCACTTGCCCAGTGGCCTTGGGAACTGGCACCAAATTGCAAAGGTGGGCTGGGGAAGGACTCACATGTCAAAGCAGTGGGCCGCTGACAGAAGCCACCTCTCAGCCACCAGTACAGCCCCACAGCGATGCTCCCTGTGCCGCAACCACAGGCTCACTTGCCAGGGCCACTCCCCACGCGAGGCTGTGCTGCCTCCCACGATCCGGGTCAGGGCCCCAGGGGGCGCCAGGCCGCAGGCTGCAGAGAGCAGTACCCTATGAGCCCCAGGCAGAGGGTCTTCTACTAAACACTCCTAATCTGGGGGCCCAGTGTCCCACACCCACAGCCTGGCCTCTGAATTAATCCAGCGCAGAGCTGTCCCCAGAGCCCTGTGGAGAGGGCAGAGGGTGGCTTCATGTCCCTCCTGGCTGGCTCCTCTTTCCCAGCCTTCCTGCCATCAGGTGGGGTGTGGTTGTTTCCTGGCCCAGCCTCAGCCAATACAAAAGGAACTCAGGGAAAGAAAGATTCCTGGGCCCCATCAGAGGAGCTCCCAGGAAGACCCAGGAGGCTGATTTGTGAGTCCCTCAGGCCGTGCAGCCCCTTCAGCCATCGCCTTCACACAGGGAGTGGCCTGCACCGGTCCCATCTTGAGACTTCCCTGGGTCTCTGAGGTCTCACAGGCTACTGCATCATCAGATTCAAGGTCAGATTGAGTTAAAGGTCTTCAGGTGTGGAGTCACCGAGCCTGACTGTTCCCTAATTCCAAGAGGTGGGATGGGAATGTCACCTTCACGGGGGTCCTGAGGCTCAGGGCTTTTGGTAAGGGCCCTGCTGTGACCCCAATGACCCACCCCCTTTGCCCTGACTCTGCTCTGTGTTTGACTCTATCCAGCACTGCCCTCCATGTGGAGGGACATCCTCCCTGGCCCCAGGTTAAAGGTATCAATGGAGTTAGGAGCAGCACTTCAACAGTAGATAGAGTTAGAGCATGGCATGAGAGGCTGCAATGATGGAGAGCTGAGAAAGGTCCAGCCCAAGACCTTCTAGAACCCAGCTTGGGCCATAGCGGGGAGTCATGGCTGAGCGGGCCTGGGCATGAGGGGGCATGGAGGACTGGAACACTGAAGAGTGGGAAACAGAAACAGACACAATCCCATTATCACTGTCTGGGGTACCCAAGGAATGAGTCAATGTTTCTCAACCTGTGGGTCTCGGCCCCTTTGAGAGTCCGCCAACCCTTTTACAGGTCCTAAGACCATCAGAAAATTATATCATAACTAGCAAAATTACAGTTATGTGTAGCAATGAAAATAATTTTATGTCTGGGGTCACTACAACCTGAGGGATTAAAGGGTCGCAGTGTTAGAAATGTTGAGAACCGCTCTAGATGCGCATGCCACCCACAGGGGAGCAGGGAGTGCGGGTGAGACCACACACCAGATACCGGGATGCTGTCCCCATCTCTGCAGACTGTCTACTTTTTCCAGCTTTTTAAAAAGGTGGAGGTGTTGAGACACGATACTATCCCGCCATGTATGTACCTAGAGCAGCCTTAAAGTCAAAGAAACTCTCCTGCCTCAAACTCCCTCCAAGAGCTGAGACTGTAGGTATGGCACCACACCCAGGCCTCAAGGCTTAACTGAGCCATCATTAATCTCCAGCTCTCTTCTTTCTCCTTCTGGCACTTGCTTCCTCTTTCCTCCTTCTCTCTTTTTTAAAATTTTATTTGAACATTCATGGCCATGATGAGACAACATGAAGGCTAGAGCTCCAACACCTGACTGCGCCCCAGCTCCTCCCTGGACTATTCTAGGTGGTGCTCCACCCTGGCCATGACCCCAGCCCCTCCCTGGAGGATTCTAGGCAGGGCTCCACCCTCAAGCCAAGGCTTCATCTTCTTGCTGATCAGAGATGGTCTCGCTAAGATGACCACACTAGCCTTCAATGCTCCCTCAGCCCAGGCTGGCTTGGATTTGTGATACTCCTGTCAAGTGGCTGAGACAACAGATGTTTGCCATCAGGCCCAGCCTGATGTCTTCTTAGATTAAAGAACCTGCCTCATCGACCTCTTTTTACCAAAATGCCTGTTTATAGACTGTCTCCAAATAGTCATATTCTGGGGTCTTGGGGGTTGAGTGAATCTGGGTGATGTGTCAGCCTATTGTAGCAACAGCACCCACACAGGCATGTGGAGCTTATGTGTCTTGGCAAGTGAAATAAGTACCGTACCCACTGTTACCTAGAGCCCGGGGTTTAGCAAGAGCCCTGCTGGGTGGAGGGGCCTCCTCCATGGCATTCCCCACTGATGTTAGCTCGTGTGAGGAGTTGGGGGGTGGATCAGAACACAAGCTTGTGATGATGAACAGAGCAGTAAAGCAGGACTGGAAGGGAGGGGACAATGGGGCTCATGGATTCCCAGTATAGCCCTGCTGTGCTCAACACTAGACCTAGCTGGCGAATGCAGCAACTTTAGTCATAGGCAGCAGCCTCAGCCATGCTGACACTTGGTGGCTGCAGGTATATCCACACAGCTCCAGCAGGCCATGACCCCAGGGTGTGGCTCAGCAGCAGAGCACATCCCCCCCCCCAGTGTCTGCAAGGCCCTGGGGTCTGTCCCCTTGCCAACAGAATGAAATGAAAGAAACAAGGAAAGAGGCAACCTGGTGTGGCAACACAAATTGTCATTTCAGGATTCAAGAGGCTGAGGCAGGAGGATTAGGAGTTCAAGGTCAACTTCCTATTGGGCCACCACAGGCATTGATAAACAAGAGTAAACAAATAAGAAAGGAACATGGGCTGGACAGATGTTTCAGTGGACATGGTTGTGCACAAGCCTCTGACCCCAGCGTGGAGGACAGGCTGAGACAGGATGGAACTTGCCTGCTGCAACTGGAACTCAGAAGCTCCCCCTTCGATAAGGTACCTTGCCTCTGAGGGGTATTTTGGAGAGAGAGAGGATGACATCTACATCCTCGGTGGAGGGGACGCCGACACCCTCCGCTGGCCTCTACATGCACACACATGTGCACACAAAAAATGGACAGATGTCAGCATATACACTCATGGCAGGACATGGGAGAGTGCCCTCTGAAGGCCTGGCAGGTAGCCACCGGGCCTTGACAGTGAATTCCAGCTCTGGAATTGTGGGACAGTATGTCTTCAATGGCATCATGGCTAAACCCCGCTGTGGCAGAGACCCACGTGCATCACAACATGTGTCACTGTACCTGGCAGCTGGGAATATGCGGTGGTGCTCAGGGCATTTGCAGCTGGTGTCTGTCCCCTCGTAGTGGTGCTCCTGGCAGACAGTGTCGTGTTGAGTGGTTTAGTAGTCACCCTGCTGGTGCCCCTGGGGGTCGCAGGTCTGCTGGTGGTGGCCTCTTGGACAGTGAGGCCAGCAGCTGTGGTTCTGGAGGGCTGGTTAGGGATAAGCTGTGTGCTGGAGGTGTGGGGGCAAAGTGTGGAGCTGGGGCCTGAGGACATGGCCTTCAGGATCCAGTCCTTGAGGCGTGTGATACGTGCATATACGCCGGGCCTCTTAGCTTGAGCACAGCCAACGCCCCAGCTCACGATGCCAGCCAGGTAAAAGACACCGGGTGTCTCTTCACATGCCAGGGGGCCACCAGAGTCACCCTGCAGGAGAAGGACACCACCTTCTAAAGGCTACTCCCACTGAGCTTGAGGTTTTGATGAACTCAAGCTTGGCTGTGTGGCCATAAACCCCAGCCTTCTGAGATGCCATCATTCATTCTGGCTTCTTCTTTTTGAGTACTGGGGATGGAACCCAGGGCCACACACACTAGGCAAGTGTTCACCACTGAGCTGCACCCAAAGACTCACTGGGAGCTTGGGGTGTTCCTGTGACACCCACCTGGCAGGAGTCAACTCTGCCTTCCAGGAAGCCAGCGCAGAGCATACGGTCCGTGAGGGAGAAATTGTACAGGGCACCACACATCTTCTGCTCTATGATGCCCACAGACGCCTTCTGCAGGATGTCGGGCTTGGTGGCTGCCAGGAAAGAACTCAGAATGTCACCTAGTGACTTGTAGCCAAGCAGGGCCACCAGGTGCTTCTCCTATCCTGGAGACGTGAGCAGAGCCCACAGGAATTTTTGTTTTGCTTGACACAGGTTCTCACTGTGCAGCTCTGGCTGTCTCAGAACTCACAGATTTTCCTGCTTCTACCTCCCAGATGCTGGGATTAAAGGCAGATATTCACATTACAATTCGTAACAGCAGCAAAATTATGAAGTAGCAATGAAATAATGTTGCAGTTGGGGTCACCACAGCATGAGGAGCTGTATTACAGGGTCACAGCATCAGGAAGGTTGAGAGCCACTGGGCTGGAGCACCAACATTTTCAGCTTATCCTGTTAGTGAATGGTCGTGTAAGGAGGCACATGCAATAAAGTCAAGGGGCAACATGTAGCCTCTGGCATAACAAGAGGCTAATAGCTCAAGTCTGTGGCCAATAGATCAGCACTGATGTTTTTTTGCCGCCATGGACATCTAGCTGATGAATGTATGGATTTGTTTTAAGAGACAAGGTCTCTCTATGTAGCCCTGGCTGTCCTGGAGTTCAATATGTAGATCAGGTTGGTCTTGAACTCAAAAGTCTGTCTCTGCCTCTCTAATTCTGGTATTAAAGGCTTGAGCCACCACTGCCTGGTGAACGTGTCAATAAAACTTCATTTATACAGACAAATGAGGGGCCATATGTTATCCCTAGGAGACATTGAGTGACGCTTAGAATGTGGGGTCAGCACAGAGGAATGGTTTAGGGCCCAGGTGAAGTAATCCAAGCCTCATCCCTCCCAGTTCAGGCCCTGGAGAATACAGCCAATATCCATCATTTCCCTCTGGGATCTGCTCACCATTTCCCTCCTGTGTGTTGCCCCAGCCTGAGATCATACACTTCCGGCCCACAGGGAACTTGTGGATGGCCAAGGGGAGACAGATGGGCTGGATGTACTTGTTGAAGACCAGTGGCCGTGCTAACTCCAGCAAGGCCACATCAAAGTCCAAGATGCCTGGGTTGTATTGGGGATGCAGGAACACCCTTCGCAGTCCCAGCTTCACAGGGCTCCCGCCGACACCCAGCAGGGACGCGGTGCCAAGGTGAGCTTGCACCTGCTCTGCCTTGGTGCTGTGGAGACAGGACCTCGAGCAGACCCGCCCTGCCCCTCCCAGCCCACACCTGTAGCCCATGGAATGTCCCAGGAAGGGAACCTGATAGAGAGTGAGTACTCTTAGGGCTTTGCTTTATGTGACTCTAACAAAGACCCTAGCAATTTTATGAATGTCATAGGTCACTGGTCATGGGTCAGAATCCAGGCCCCTGCTGGGGAGCCCAGAGGTGGACAGCTGTGGGCCTGGGTGACCCCGTATATGAACACTTGGTCAACAACAAGTGCTTCCTGGTTTTGGTTTGGTCTGGCTGTTTATTTTTGGGACAGTGACAGGAATGCACCACCACACCAGCTAGTTGGCATTTGCTGAATGCACTGAGTTCTGCTGTCTGGGCTCTTGGGAGGCCTTACTGGTTGAAACAATGAGCGGCGGACAGCAGCCAGCGGTCACCCACCACGGTGGCTCCACAGAAATGTCTGGATCCTTCCTTCAGGCTGGCCTGCCAGGGCACCTCCCCAGATACAGCGCTGAGCCCACCCACAATGCGAGTGGGCTTGTCCATGGCAGGCCTGGCCCCACACTCTGCCAGGGTGAAGGAGAGAGGGTGATGGAGGTTAGGATGATGGCGGTTCCCCATCTACTTAGGGTTCACCTGTTCTGACCCCTAGTTGACCTACATACAGAGCAATAAGGACATCACCCAGGGGTGGCAGGGCTGGAGGTGTACAAGAGAAATCAGAACTTGGAATAGCTGAGATACGGTTGAACAACACCCGATGAGATAGATACCCAGGACCCACAATCTCACATCTGTTAGGATAAAGTGCAAGGGGAACCCTGGTGGATTCCATGGCAGTCGAGGTGACCAAGGCGGGGACAAACACGCCAGGCAGACAGAGCTTAGTGAGAAGTTTTATTAGAAAGGGAGGGGGACATACAGAGACACAGAGAGAGGACAGAAGAGAAGAGAGAGGCAGGAAAAGTCCTGTCTGCCCCAGGAGAACAGCAGGAAAGGGGGGAGGAGAATGTAAGTGGGTGGGGGCTTTCTCTTAAGGGGTCCTTTGCACCTGCATTCCGACTACCCAATCATGGAACCCTGGGCTGGCCAGGGTGCTGCCTGAGTGCATTCTGCTAGGTGACAGGGGCAGGCCAGCATAATGCCTGAATCCTTACAGCATCTACATGTTGGCACACCCCAGCACTCAGAAGCTGAGGCAGGAGGATTATTTTTAGTTTGAAGTCAGTGTGTGGGAAAAAAGATGCTGTCTGAGAAGGGAGGGAAGGAGAGAGGGGAGAGGGATGCAAACAGGGCTGGCTGGGGTGAAAGAAAATGAGTCACAGGCTGCTAAGAAACAGGAGCAAATCACAAGAATCCTGACCATGAAGTCTGGGCAGGGTGTGGTGGGCCCTTGCCTCCAGTACACCAGGCCCAGGTTCCACCCAGCACCACAGTGTACATGAAGTCCAAGCAAGGTTGATGACATACCCAGTGGCACCCATAGACAGGAACACTGCCCAGCAGGGCCACACTGGTTACCTCAGAGACTCAGGGTTTACCTGGGTCCCACAGTCATGGCCGACAGACAACTTTAATCCCAGAAACTGGGAGGCTGTGGCAGGTGGATCTCTACGAATTGAAAGCCAACCTGAGCTCCGGGGCTGGAGAGATGGCTCAGAGGTTAAGAGCAGCAGCTGCTCTTCCAGAGGTCTCGAGTTCAATTCCCAGCACCCACCTGGCAGCTCACAACTGTCTGTAACTCCAGATCCAAAGGATCTGGCACCCTCACACAGACATGCATGTAGGAAAAACATCAATGCATATAAGCTAAATAAATTAATTAATTAAAAAAATTAGCTACAGGCCAGGGCTACATAGTGAGACCCTGCCTCAAAAAAAAAAAGTAAATAAATAAATAAATAAATATTCCTGAAGAATGACCAATCTGTAACAGATGCTTGCACTCAAGGCAGACATCACCAACCAATTGCCAACCCCAAGCTGAGTGCTTCATGACAGATAACAGTAAACAGTCACCAATTATCCATCCCGTATCAAGATTGATACCAATAATAAATAATAAATTGCCTCTCTTCCATGGAGTACTTTCATGGCAAACACAAATTTTTTCTCACTGAGGATTCAAGGCAGATATGGTCAACCAATTACCAATCTTCCATCCACAGACATCAGTGTAGAGGCGCTAGCCATCAAACCTGTTAAATTTGCTGAGTTCAATTCCGTAAAACCCACGCGGTGGAAGGAGAGCGCCAATTCCTGAAAGTCATCCTCCGACCCCCACATGCACTTGCCCCCGCCACCAAAGAAATCAGTCATCAGCTGCCAATCTCCCACAATAATAAACCAGACATCATCAGTTGATCACAGCTGGGCCTGATGGCGCACGCCTTTGATCCCAGGCAGAGACTGGAGGATCTCTGTGAGTTCAAGCCCAGCCTTGCACATGAAGAGTTCCAGGTTAGCCAGGGCTACACAGAGAGACCCTGTCTCAACCGCGCCAAACGTATGGCCAGTAACCAATTTCTTGCTGCCCTTCATGACAGACATTGACCATCTACTACCGTCCCCACACCAGTTGCTTCAGGATCGGCAATTGAGCGTCGATCTCAGAGCCTGCTTCCTAGCAGACATCGATAGTCACTTGCCGATCTCCCTATGGAGGGGCCGCCCACCCGGTAATACCTTGTGGCTTGGCCGCAGTGCTGGGGTGTGGTGCAGTGCTGCGGGCAGCAGTAGGATTGGCAGAGGTTTCGGGGCTGGTCGGCCAGGGAGTGCTTGGGGCAACGGGCGCAGAAGCCGCTGTGGGGACCACAGCCGTGCTGGTCACTTCCAAGATCCAGTCCCGCAACCGGGTGACGCGGGTGTAGACCCCTGGTCGCCGCGCTTCCGCACAGCCGATCCCCCAGCTCACGATGCCAGCCAGGAAAAATCTTCCGGATGGCTCCTCGCAGACCAGGGGTCCCCCCGAGTCACCCTGTAAAACAGAGGAGCTCTCTCAGCATAGACGGGGATATCCCCCCCCTCCCCAGTGCCAGGGCTAAGGCTGTGCACACCAGGGCCACTGCCGGCCACGCGGAGCAGACTCCCAGCAGAACCAGAGCTGCTGGTCTTAAAGCAGAGCTTTGAGCAAATCTGAGGCCATCACCATTCGTGCCAGGATCCATGTGCACAGTTATTGATTTAGACATTCCGTCTGTGCACCGTGTTTTGTGCCTGGTGCCCACAGAGGTCAAAAGAAGCCATCATATCCCTAAAACAGGTAACCATGGAGCCATCTCTCCAACCTCAGCACTCCGGAGGCAGAGGCAGATCTCTGTGAGTTTGAGGCCAGCCAGGACTACACAGAGAAACCCTGTCTCAAAAACCAACAAAACAAAGTAAAAAACATATCACAACTTCTATTTTCACAAAACACATATAACCACAAAAGCTTAGGAAGTGTATTTCTTGTTTTTTTTTTTTTTTCTTTTTGAGACAGGCCCTCATGTAACTCAGGCTTGCTCCAGACTCCTTGTGTAGCTCAGGACGAACTTGATCTCCTGATGCTCCTTTGCATGTTCTCAGGGGTGAGGGGACAGAGGGTAATATCTGAAAGCCGGCACCCCACCTGGCAGGAGTCCACCTTGCCGTCTAGGTAGCCGGCACACACCATCCTGTCGGTGAGCGAGTGGCCGTACAGGCTGGCACATAAGTTCTGGTCCAGCAATTCCACTGTGGCTTTCTGGAGGACCTCCGGCTTCACCACTACCCAAATGGCGACAGAGAGAAGCAGGGTGTGAGCACGGGACCCCCAGCTGCCACCCTGAACTAAGAGACCTAAGACCATTTCCTCTTAGGGTTCCCAAGCTACAGGGGCCACCTGCACCTCACCCCAACCACACTCCCTCCTGGACACTAACAGATGTCAACCTTAACACCCCAGGATTGAGTCCTCATCACTTCTCCCCACATGTGCTAGGCTCTCATAGACTCTTGGCTCACATGATATTGGTGTCCTCCAGCACCAGGAGGCAGCGCTGGAACTTCTTTCTTGTTCTGGCTTTGTTTGTTTTTTTATTGTTTGTTTTTGTTTTGTTTTATTTTTGAGACAAGGTCTCTTATAGCCCAGACTGGCCTTAAACTCACTTCCTAGCCAAAGGTGGCCTTGGACTTCATCCTCCTGACTCTCCGTCTTGAAATTTGAGCATGACGGTTGTATGCTGCCACCTTTAGCTTTACGGATTTTCTTTTCCTTTACCAGACGTATTAAACCCATACACTCCCACTTGTTAGATATACTCCACCCTGACCACGTCCCCAGACCCTCACTGGAGTTCTAGGCAGGGCTCCACCCTGACCACGTCCCACCCGTTTTTTAGCTTTCTGAGACAAGGTCTTGCTGGACAGGTCCCAGTTTATGGGCTCAGAGGCAGGAGCCGTCATGGCCATATCACAAGCTCTTATTTCAGAGCTGGACGGTGGCAGTAGGGGGTGGAAAGATGTTCGCGAGCTTACAAAAGTCCTCTTTCAGGTACCCCCAGCCAGAGATCAGGCATTTCTTGCGCGGCGGGAAGACGTGCGTGGCGGCGGGGAGGCAGGCAGGCTGCACGTAGTGGCCAAAGGGCAGTGGGTGAGCCAGCTCCAGCACCGCCACGTCGAAGTCCGCAGTGTCAGCGTTGTAGGCGGGATGCTTGGTGATGCGGAGCACGCGGGCACGCACAGCACTGGCCTCAGAGCCGCTCAGGTGCACGCTGCCTGCCTGGGCAGCCCACTGCGCAGGGTCCTGGAATCTGGGGAGTCCGAGGGATGCAACTTAAGTTGGGGGAGCTCCGAGGAAAGGAAAGACAATAAAGGATGCAGGTCTATGACTGGGGACATCTCTGTCCTCAGCCCAATGTCAGGATGCAAGGGCCACCCAGAGGGCTCCGTGGACTTGTGACCAAGCCTATTGGCTTGAGTTCGATTCCAAGGCCACATAGGGTGGAAGGACCAAATCAACTACTGCAAGTTGTCCTCTGACCTACAAGCACACATGTACACGTTCTGGCATGAGCATCCACACGCATACAGACACAAAACAAATACATGAAAAACTAAGTAGCATTGTGCATGCCCTTGATACCAGCACCTGGGAACAGAGGCAGGAGGATCTCTGAGTTCCAGGACAGCCTGGTCTGCAGAGTGAGTTCCAGGACAACCAGGGCTACACAGGGAAACCCTGTCTAGAAAAACAGAAAAGAAAAAGAATAAAGGACAAGACCTCATTAGGTTCCCAGGCTTCCCAGGAATTCATAATCCTCTTTCCTCAGCTTCCTGAGTGCTGGGTTACAGGTATCTATCCCACAGCCACCACCACCTGAGGTCTTGTCTTTTTAAAAAATTAAGGTTTTAAAAAAAAGAAAAGAGAAGAGGACCTAGAGAGGCAGCTCAGTGGTTATCACACCAGCTGTTCCTGCAGAAGACCCAGGTTCGGTTCCCAGGCCCACATGGGGGTGCACAACCATCTGTGACTCCAGTTCCAGGGGATCCGATGCCCCCTTCTGGCCTCTGTCAGCATCAGGCATGCACATGGTGCATGCACAGTCAGACAGATGGGCAAAACATTCATACGCATAAAATTAAATAACCCGGAAGAGAAAAGGGAGGGGGTTTTAGGAAAAGGAGGCAGAAGAGGAGGAGGGTGGAGGGCAGGACAGTGGCAGCCAAGGCCACCTGTGACTCACTCATTGAAGCAGTGGGCAGCAGACACCAGCCACCTGGCCCCGATGATGGTGGCCCCGCAGAAGTGTTCATGGTTTTCTCGAAGGCTGACCTGCCAGGGGAACTCCCCGGGGGCCGCCTCCACGCCACCCACAATCCTGCCCGCCGACCTCCAGGCTGGCTGCCAGCCGCAGTCTGCAAGACACAAGACCATCAGTTGGGACCCCAGGTGCAGCCTGTCAGTCATCTTTTGGCCCCAAATTCAAAGCACCACCACTTGCTTGGGGCTGCCCTGCTTCTTGGCACCAAGAAGGTCACACCAAACAGTGTCAGTGATAGGCTCGTACATGGTCTGTGCCAAGCATGAAGGTCATATGACCCTCAACCTATTGTTTGTTTTTATTTTAGTCATTTTCTTCCTTTCTTCTTTTCTTTTCTTTTTTATTTCAGCAGGATTTCTATGTAGCCCAGGCCAGCCTCAAACTTGCAGAGATTTGCCTCCCTTTGCCTCCTGAGTGCTGGGATTAAAGGTGCCATTCCTCCACTGTCTAGCATAATTTCTTTCTTTTACTTTTTTTTTTAATATTTTATTTGTTTATTGTGTGGACAGCTTTCTATCTGAATGTATGCCTGCAAGCCTGAAGAGGGCACCACATCTCATTACACATGGTTGTGAGTCTCCATGTGATTGCTGGGAATTGAACTTGGGATCTGAAAGAACAGCCAGTGCTCTTAACCTCTGAGCCATCTCTCCAGCCCAATTTCTCTCTTTTCAAACAGACTCTCATTCTAGCCCAAGCTGCCCTGGAACTGATCCTTCTGCCTCAGCTCCTGGTGCTTGAATGACTATCTGTACCACCAAACACGGGGGGCGGGGAGTTCTTGATTAATAACTATTGATGCTGGAGGGCTGAGCCTCCTGTGGGTGGTGTCAACCCCTAGGCAGGTGACCCTGGACTGTAGTGAGCCTGAGAAAGCAAGCCCAGGCTACCTCCGTGTGACTCCCCCATTCCTCCCGAAGTGTCTTTGCTCTCCTCTCACAGCTGCAGAGAGCAGACCAGGACCCTGAGGTCTCCTTACTGTGCAAGCTGAGAATGCCAGAAGCATGCTGATGACCACACAGTATTTTCTTCTTTCTTCACTCTTTGCTCAGATCTGATCAGTCCTTTTTCCTGGCAGCATAGAGCTCCAGGCTCCCGGCCCTCCTCCAGGCACCTGTGCTTAGTGGATAGCTTCTTGCCCTCCACCCCTCTGTTTGCCCCTCCCAGCTTGCAAGCCACATTCAGTGGGAGCCCAGAGAGCCCCGAGCCCAGGCCGCACTGACACTAACCACATTGAGCCTCGTCAGACCCATCAGAGCAGTCCACCCTGTTGTCACACTCCGGGTTTGCTTTGCTCACACACTGATTGTTGTCACAGGAGAAGGCGTTTCCAGGACAGCGGCCTGGGGATAGAGAATCCAGCTGGAGGCAGCAGCCCACAGGGCTCCACTGGGAACCTCCACATTAGGGAAAACCTCTGAGTTCTTTGCTTATCTCTGGAGACAGGACAGGGATAAACAACATGGGTGTGTGTGAGCCATGAGTGATTTGTATTTGAAACAGGGTCACACTGTGTAGCCCTGGATGGTCTGAAACTCCCTATGTAGACCAGGCTGGCCTTGAACTCACAGAGATCTGCCTGCCTCTGCCTCCTGAGGGCTGGGGTTAAAGGAGAGAAGCGTCCCATCTGGATCCTGGTTTGTTTTATAATAGAATTCTGTCACCTTCTGGGATGGTGACTTAATTGTCAACTTGGTTGGATCTAGAAACACTATGGAAACAAGTGTATGCAGGTCTGAGAGGAAACCCTTCATTGGAAGACCCTGCCCACATGTGGCAGCACCATTCTACAGTCTGGCACCCTGGGGTGCATGGGCTGGGTCACTTCTCTGCTTCCTGACTATCGGGACTCGGTGTGACCAGTCATGTCCTGCTCCTGCCACCACAATGGATGGTGCTAACTGAAGCCAGAACAGACCCTCAGATCCTTCCTCCCAAGTGTTTGTCACAGCAACACACAAGTGACAGATAACCTTAAAAATAAAGACTGGGTGGGGGTGGGGATACACACTTTTCTTTTTCTTTTTCTTGGGGGGTTTGTTCGTTTGTTTGGTTTTGGTTTTTTTTTATTTTTTAATTTTTTAAATTTTTATTTATTTATTTATTTTATATAACCAAGTCCATTTAAATGAAAACAAACATTTATAGACAATATTTGGGAATTTGGGCATTGCTCTTTCCAAACTACTTCCTGCTGTTGTTTTTGTTTTTCAAGACAGGGTTTCTCTGTATTGCTTTGGAGCTGTCCTGGAACTAGCTCTGTAGATCAGGCTGGCCTTGAACTCACAGAGATCCACCTGCCTCTGCCTCCCGAGTGCTGGGATTAAAGGTGTGTGCTACCAACGCCTGGCAGGGATACACACTTTTAACCCCAGCACTCAGGAGGCAAGCAGATTTCTGAAGCTGGAGCCAGCCTAGGCTACATAGTGAGACCCTGTCTTTATAAATAAGTGAGCCAACAGCATTCACTGCGGCAGAGCCTGGCTGTAGACAACACTTGGTGCCTCTTTTTGAAGTACCCCCTGACTCACTCCAGCAATGTTATCTTCCCAAGGAAGTCAGACACCCACAGGGACCACATGTATGATTCTGGAGAGAAACCTTGGGGACATTTAGAGAAAACCGAGCTGAGGGTAGAGGCCCGTCCTACCTGACTTCAAGTCCTTCTCAGATACTGGACTGTCACAACTTCCTGAAGCAGAACAAACAAAACCAAGTGATGGGAGATATCATTCTGTAAATATGTTTCTCTCATTGGTTAATGAATAAAGCATTGTTGGCAAATAGGAAGGCAAGATAGGCAGGACTAGGAGAAAGGAGGATTCTGGGAGATGGTCAAGATGTAGGGGCTTGAGGGAAGAGATCTGGACCCTCTCTTCGGTAAGATAAGACCACGTGGAAACACTTAAATGAATAGAAATGGATTAATATTTAACCAGAGCTAGCCAATAAGAAATGCTAGTAAAGACCAGCAGCTTTATATCTAATACAGTGTCTCTGTGTTATTTGAGGCTGATGTGACTGTGGGACCAGGCTGGTGGGAAAAACTTCTCGTAACAACCAAATGAGACCTTGGCATGGTGGTGTTCACCTGTCACCCAGGCTGAGGCAGGAGGATTGTGCCTTTGAGGTCAGCCTGGGCTAAATGATGAGATTCTGTCTGGCTTCCTCTCCCTAAAAAGTCAAATGTGTTAAGTGTTGGCTCTTCATGACATCTCCCTGCAGGTGACAGCAGAGACCCCAAGCTCTAGCACTAACCCTATGCTCAGCTGGGATGGTCAGGGAACAGCACCAAAGACCCACAGGACTCTGGAAGCCATTGTACTAGTGGGGAACACACTGTCACTGAGGAGTGTTCTAGAAGATGTTGCTGAAGACATCACTGAGATCTCAGCCATCATGTCAGGGTCGTGGACAGTAAGGTCTAGGTGACAAGAGTTTAACCCCTCAGTGGTCTGATTGGTTCTCCCTTTTTTCTTTTTTTTTTTTTAAGATTTATTTATTATGTATGCAGTGTTCTGCCTGCATGTATTCCTGCCCGCCAGAAGAGGGCACCAGATCTCATTGCAGATGGTTGTGAGCCACCATGTGGGTGCTGGGAATTGAACTCAGGACCTCTGGAAGAGCAATCAGTGCTCTGAGCCATCTCTCCAGCCCCAGGCTCTCCCATTACTACCTGGGGTTTCAGTGCATGGTATTTTTGCTTTTCTTGTTATTTGGCTTTTGTTTTGTTTTTTCTTTTTGAGACCAGGCCTCATTATGTTGTCCAGGCTGGCTCTAACTCCCTGGAGTTAGTCTATGGTCCTCATAGCAGACCTAATCTCCTGGACGCCTAGCTCACACAGCGTGGAGACTCCAGAACCGGCTCACATCCCTGATGGGACACATGAAAATGGCGTAGTTTTTAATTAATTAACTAATTTTTTTATTTGTAGGGGTGTTTTGGGATTCCCTGGAACTGGTTATGTACTGTTGGGCACTAGGAACAAAACCTGGGTCCCTGCAAGAGCAGCTGGTGTTTAAGCCACTAATCTGTCCAGCCCCAGGTGGTTTCCATTTTATCATACCACCTGCATCTGCCTCCTGAATGCTGGATTAAAGGTATGAGGCCACCATGCCCTGTTAGAATTTTCTATTATGTTTTTGGAATCACAGTGAACTAAACTCAAGGAAAATAGTCCATGAATGTAAGGGGGCTCTTACTGCTAAATCACACATAACAAAAGTAAGATCTTTCCTCTCTGCCCCTGTCCATAGAAGGTGGCTGACTCTCTGCCTCCAAGGGTATGGGAAGCTGGGTTTCTTATCCTTCCATCCAAGGGGGAGATTTTTTTAATATGATGCTTTATGAAATTTGAGCTGTACCTCACCCCCAGCAACCCTTTGTCTCCCAGCCAGGGGCTGCCACCCACCCACCCACCTACCTGTGAGCTCCACTGACATGATGGTGCCGTAGGCAGCCAGGGGAAGACCATGTCCCTGAAGCCTTGCCTGGATACCTTTCTGCAAGATGTCCTCCTCCTGGTCCAGGCTCAGTGGCTGGAGGGCTCGGAGCAGAAAGTGGAGCCGGAAATTCACAAATACGCTGGAATTCCCATCCCTACAAGCAGGACAAGCTTGCTTCTAGGATTTTCCAAAAATCTTCTGGAATCTTCTAGAAGGTTCTGGAATTGTCAAGGCTGTTTTGCCTTCACAGAGGCCTCAACTCACCTGTAACTGAGCACTGTACAGCCTGCACAGCTTGATTCCAACTCTGTTTTGTGGAAACTGCTCACAAACTGCAACAAAAGTAAGAGCAGTGATGCTGAAGCCACAATGAAACAGGGAAGCAGAGCCACCGCCAGGACAAGGGGGTGGGGTGGCGAGGGCAATGTGAAAACAGTCTGCCAATAAACTAACAAACCAACACAGTGCAGTCTGCGCAAACAACTGAATATTACTCAGCCCTGGAAAAGACTATCATACCACTTTAGGGGTATGATGCCCAAGAGGCAAAGCAACATCTTGGTTACAGACACTCCATAGCTGTATAGGACACAGAGCCCCAGGGCAGGGGCAGCCACTTATTTCTGTCCATAGAGATGGGTTGGGGAATGGATGGATGGATGGATGAATGGATGTGTGGATGAATGGCTTGGTGAGTGAATGTTTAGATGGATGTGGGTGATGGATGAATGGGTGAGCAGATGGGTCAGTAGATATATGGATGGGTAGGTCAAAGGGATATGTGAATGGATGATTGGATAGATTGATGGATGAGTTGCTGGATGGGTGAATGGGTGGGTGGGTGGAGGGAGGGAGGCATAGAGGGTTGGTGGATGGAGGGATAGATGGGTGGGTTTATGAATAGGTGGCTAAATGGATGGATTGATGGATGTGTAGATGAGTTGGAGGATAGACGGGTAGATGGATGGGTGGAAAGATGGATGGATAGGTAAATAGGTGCATGAGATGACGGGTGAGTACATGGATGGTTTGTTGGTTGGTTATACGGATGGGTAGATGAGTGGATGATTGTATGACAGACACACAAAACATGGTCCATTCCCACACCCAACCAGCATGCAGCCATGAACAAGTCAGAGCTCTGACACATGCCCCAGCATGGAGGGACCCTGAGGACGTTGTTTGCAGTAAGAGATCCACACAGCATGAACTCCATGATAGGAAATGTCCAGGCAGGAATACATACATGTGATACATAACGACACCTGTTTAGCAGGAGGAGCCCAAGCATCACATCTTCTCTCCCCTGTTACAGCATCCCCCAGCTGCTTCCTAGCTCTGTGCCCTGGCTGCACTCACCAGTGTCTGCAGAGCAGGTGTGAGCACACGGTAGTAGTCGGAGGTCTCCTGCTGAAGAGAGCTGGTGAACTGGATCCCGTGCAACTGTGCTGTGTGCCCCACATGCACTCTCTGTGCAGAGAGGAAGCCTGTGGGCAAGACCAGTGCCTGGCGAGAGGCCCCCACTGCAGGGTGAGGCCTCGGCACCCCCGTGCAAATCCCAAGCCTCCACACACAGGAGACCTGACTCCCCAAAGGTGACCATGACCACCAGTGCACCATTGCTGAAGGACCCCCCAGACATAGTATAAGTCTTATAGAGGCCAAGTGTCTTGAAGTATCCCCAAAGTCAGCCTCCTTGACCTGAGTCAATGACATCACTGATGATCATCCCTCGGGAGGCCTTGTAGTGTAGTTCCCAACCGCCTTCCTAGGGTGGGACAGCAATTACTATAGAGGACAGAGCAAGCCAGGGACCCCAGGAACTTTGCACTGCTCATTCAGGGGGGCCACACTCCAGGACTGCTGGCCTTCTTAGAGCGTCACATGTGTGAACAGGTCGTCAGGTGCCTTGCTCTCTTATTCTCCATGTGTTTGTGTTCACAGAACATAGAACTCACCAATTCAGCTGGGCTGGCTAGCAAGCCCTGGGGATTTTCCTATGTCCCAGCTCTGAGATTACAAGAGCCTGTCACTACAGCTGTGTGTGTGTGCGTGTGTGTGTGTGTGTGTGTGTGTGTGTTTCTATGACTGCTGTGGATTGAAACTTAGTGTCCTTTAAGGCAGACACTACTGCCTGAGCCATCTCCTGGACTGCTTTTGTATGTCCTTTTGAAGCAGGACTTTGCTTTGAAGCCTATGCTGACTTGGATATTACAGCCCCTGCCACAGCTGTCCCTGCCTTTGCCACCATGCCTCCTAAAAGGAGTTTCTAACTGTGTGTTACATCAAAAAAGGAGTAAAACATAACACATGCACTGATACCGGTGAAGATGTGCCCGTGTCCCTGTCTCTCTGGAGGCTGAGGTGGGAAAGATTGTAGCATCCCAGACATTCGACACCAACCTGAGGACCACAGCAAGACCCAACTGCAGACAAAAAATTCAAACAGGCTGGACAGCCAACTCAGCAGTTACAAGCAGTGGCTGCTCTTGCAGAGGTCCCTGGTTCAGTTCCCAGGCCCCATATGGCAGCTCACAGATTCCTATAAGTCCAGTTACAGTGGGCTGACACCTCTTCCGGCCTTTGAGCACTGCACACATATGGTGTACAGACATACATGCAGGTAAAACAGAAAATAAAATACACAGAAAATAAACATTAAAAAACAAAATCTATCAGGAAGTGGTGGCAAATGCCTTTAATCCTAGCACCCATGAGGCAGAGCTAGGTAGATCTCTGGGAGTTCAAGGCCAGCCTAGTCTACAGAGGGAGTTCCAGGACAGCCAAAGCTACACAGAGAAACCTTGTCTCAAAGACAAAAAATAAACAAACAAACAAAAAATACAGGAGAAGCAAACAGTGTGGGCAACTCCTTGGGGTAGAGTTGTGGATCCATGGGTAGAAGAAGCATCCCAATGACTGTGGATCAGTGGATAGAATGCTCTCACCCAGCAGCCATGCTGCCTTGGGTACCACTCCAGCATCCATGAGCTAGGATTGGCTGCACACCCCTGTAGTCCCAGCACTTCAGAGATGGAGGCAGGAGGATCAGGATTTATAGCCATCCTCACCAATAAGAGCTTCAGGTAAGTCTGGGCTGCATGAGGTCCTGCTTCCCAAAATGAAAATATCTCTCAAAAATGGGCAGGAAGGTTTTTGTGCATCACACCCGGGTCAGCCCGGGGTCCCAACAGCCTTGAAATCATTGCAGTCAGGAAGCTCACTTCTAGGCAGAGGGACACTCTCTCTCTCTCTCTCTCTCTCTCTCTCTCTCTCTCTCTCTCTCTCTCTCTCTCTCTCTCTCGGGCAATTGGGAGAATGCTATTGGGAGGGACAGGCACAGCCACTAGGGGGCAGCAGTCAGCCATGTCAGTCTGAAATAATTCAGAAGGTCCAGAAAAGTTTAATAAATACTATTATAGTTGGAGAACTCAGAGCAATTATTAGTTTATTCTTTTGCCACACAATAAGGTTTCCTGATGTGGGATGCCCTTCTGAATGTGTTGCTTTTATTGTTGATGAATAAAGTTGTTTTGGCCAATAGACAGGCAGAATTTAGCTAGGCTTGAAAAGCAAACAACGAGACAGGAAGAAGGAAGACAGGGTCAGGAGACATGTAGCTACCGGGGAGGCAGGATGTCAAGGAATCACTGGCAAACTACAATCACATGGTGATACACAGATTAATAGAGATGGGTTCATTTATAAGAGAGAGCTAGCCAATAAGAAGCCTGAGCCATTGGCCAAACAGCCATAACTAATATTAAGCTTCAGTGTTATTTAATAAGCGACTGTGGGGATGCTGTGGGGCCAGAGAGAAACCGGTCCAGTGGGACTGGACTAGCAGAGAAAAAACTTCCGTTTACAGTTTCCCAGTTTGTGATCATCGTCATTCTCACACAGAATAATCATTCTAACAGGCTATGGTTGAACCACACCTCCGGCAGGGGCTCCACCCTGACTACATCCTCAGCATCTTACTAGAGGATTCTAGATAGGGCTCCATCCTGACCACGCCCCCAGCCCCTTACTGGGATTCTAGGTGGGGCTGCACACCAAACCATGCCCCCAGCCCCTCACTAGGGGACTCCAAAGTAGTCCTAGCTGCCCAGAAACTAGGATCCTCCTGACACAATCTCTAGTCCTGCGACAGTGAGTAACTGTCAAAACTTACACATGTTTATTCTCCCCCTATTTAACCCCAATGTTGACCACTCCTTCTGGATTCCTTTCCGTTGGGAAAATAGTCACCCATTGCCACTCCACAATCAGCCATCACATTCCTGGACTTTGGAGCCTGTTCCATAGGTTGCTGGCTCTGGCTGCAAGGGCAACTTTTGGCTCTGGACAGATGCTCAGGACACTGAGAGTGTCCTTTTGAGTGTCCTATATTCTGAGGACCCAGCCTTCCTCCTTCCACTTACCCAAAAGGACTCCCAGGGTAAGGACAACTGTACTAACAGCCACAACTGTGGTGACAGCTGTTCGACAGCAGCCAGAGTCCAGAGCTGGGACATGGACGTCCTTTGTCATCACTGGCATGAGTTGTAGGTCAGGTGCAGTGCGCTCCATGGCTCAGCAAACTCAAGCTCCAGCTAGACACCTGCAAAACACGGACCAAGGATTTGTCTGACATTCACCCACTCTTGGCCCACAGCCTCCTGGGAGGTAGGGGACAGGACACTGCAGTGGCATCTTGCTTTGCTAGTGAACTTGTTGTGGTGGCCATGCCCTTTGGGCATGGTTTCAGGTACAGATGTGACCCCCTATGAGGTAAAGGAGGGACTGGCTCCCCCTGTCAGAAGGGCAGAGACTTCATCTTCTGGAGCAGCACAAGTTCACTGGCAAGGCAAGATGCCACTACAGGACATGCCCATCCTAGTCACTGTAGACCAATGGGGCCACATTGGTGGAATGGAGGATAACCCAGGAAAACATGCCAGTGATTAGGAGAGTTAGCTGCTCTCTGAGAATATGGGCGTTCAGTTCCCAGCACCCACAGGGAAGCTCACAACCATCTGTAGCTCAAGCTCCCTTGGGCCCAACGCCCCCTTCTGGCCTCTATGGGAGGTGCACTCATGTACACACACAGACAAGCCATTAAAACAGATCAATTGTCCTTTTGAGGAGAATGCCCAGGTGAATGTGGCTTTCACAAGCAGCAGACACAGATCTGTAGGTGAACTTTGTCCCCACAATGTACCCACACCTGCATCAGACTCTGGTGAGCCTGTGGGGACCCTGGGTTTTTATGTTGTTTTTTGTCAAAAATTACTCTAGCCAGTTTAATCCTAACACTTAGGAGACAGAGGCAGGAGGATCTCTGTGAGTCCAAGGCCAGCTTGGTTTACAGAGTGAGTTTCAGGATATCCAGGGTTCCAGGGCTACACAGAGAAACCCTGTTTCAAGAAAAAAAAAAAAAAAAGACAAGAAAAAGGAAAAAAGGAAAGAAAGAAAAAACTGCTCTAGAGACTTAGAGTGCACGCCTGTGATTTCAGTGGTCCGCACACAGCGGCTGGAGGATGGTTGTGCGTTTGAGGCCAGCCTGGGATGGAATTGGTTTCTTTGTCATCAAAAGAACAAACTTTCCCCCCTGTTTTTCAAGACAGGGTTTCCCTGTGTAGCCCTGGCTTTCCTGGAACTCGCTGTGTGCATCAGTGTGGTAGGATATTATTTTAAGGTGTGTGACTTTTGTTTATGCTTCCTTTGTTTAACTCTGTGAAGCTGTGTTACTGTGCCTGTCTAAAACACCTGGTGGTCTAATAGAGAACTGAACAGCCAATAGCAAGGCAGGAGCAAGGACAGGTGGGCTGGCAGGCAGAGAGGATAAATGGGAGGAGAAACGAGGAAAAAAGCAGCCACGAGAGAACAAGGGGAGGAGGGCATCAGGGGCAGCCACCCGGCCACCCGGCCAGCCACGGCCACCCGGCCAGCCACGGCCACCCGGCCAGCCACGGCCACCCGGCCAGCCACGGCCACCCGGCCAGCCACGGCCACCCGGCCAGCCACGGCCACCCGGCCAGCCACGGCCACCCGGCCAGCCACGGCCACCCGGCCAGCCACGGCCACCCGGCCAGCCACGGAATTAGACGGGAAAGCAAGATCTACAGAAGTAGGAAAGAGGAAAGCCCAGAGGGAGGGAAAATGTAGGTGAGTTAATTTAAGAAAAGCTGGCTAGAAATAAGCTAAACTAAGGCCACACATTCAAAACTAAGAACAAGCCTCTGTGTGTGAGTCATTTGAGAGCTGAGTGGTGGACCCCCAAAACAGAAAAATGTGTATCATTACTACACACCAGGCTGGCCTTTAACCCAGAGAGCTCTGCCTGCCTCTGCCTGTGAGTACTAGGATTAAGGCCCATGCCACCATTGCCAGCTAAAACAACAAACTTAAAACAGAGAAACAAATGAATACTTCATTAAAGACACACACGGGCTGGATAAAGGGTGAAGGTGTTTGCTGCTAAGCCTAATCTCCTGAGTTCAGCCCCCAAGACCCACATGGAGGAAGTGTCACTCTGACCCCTGCAGCTTGTCCTGTGACCTCCACACACTCACAGGAAATGAGCAGGCATCTCTCCTGGAGGAACCATATTTAAGCCCCTCGGCTTTTCTCTCTCTTCCTGAGAAGCCCACACTCACAAAGAAGTGTCCTACTTTTTTCCTGCTCTCCTCTCCTTTATGGAACCCAGGCTGGCCTCAAACTCACAATCCCCCTGCCTCAACACAAAGATAATCATTTTCATTTCATTTGCTGGGTGTGGTGGTGCACACCTCTAACCCCAGCACTCAGAGACCTCTGGAGGCTGGAGGATCTCTGGGAGTTCCAGCTTGCAAGGGTTCCATTGGGAATTCTGCCACAAAAGAAGAAAATTAATCATTTCATTTCATTTTGAGACAGAGCTTCATGTAGCCCAGGCTAAAGTCCTGATCCTCATGACTCCACCTCCGGAGAGGGTGCTGGGGTGTTGAGCATGCACCATAATCCCTGACACTTATGAACCAGAGTGCACCCTCTGCTAATCTTGGCATCTCCAGGCTGAGGTGCCATCCTTAAGGGAACATGTCTCTGCCTGAAATGGCCACCATGCATGGCAGAGGGGACAGGGCAGCAGCCTGGATGTCACAACACTTACATTTTATTCTTACAGTTTAGCTACACTACTTCTGGAGAACAACTATCTCTGTGAATCTCTCAATGAAATAAGAAAAGAACAAAGCCACAGAGACATGCTGAACAGTAAGTCCAGCCTTGGATTGCCAGGAAAACCTCACTGATGGTCATGGCACACACACCTGTGTGTGCACATGCACACACACGCACACATACACACACTATGCATGCATCCATACACACACGTGCACATGCACAAACACATGCGTACACATACACATATGTGCACACTAGCACACACACACACTGCTCATTTGTCCTTGGCCTCCACACAGTCTTGCCAACAGTGACCCTGCTCACAGAGGACTTGCTGCTATTGAGTGCTGAGCACAGAAGCACTATTCAGCACTTTCTCTCCATGGTAATTACCATAGGGCCGCCGCCCTGGCTGCAAACACACAGCCCAGAAAGGGGCAGATCCAACTCTGTGAACCTTGGGATGCCTGGGCCAGGGAGACCAGGACACCAAGAACTGCTCCACAAGAGGCAGGTGAGGTGGCACACACCTGTCATCTCAGCACTCAGAAAGCTGAGTCAGGAGGATTGCTGTGAGTTCAATGATAGCCTGGGCTACAAGGCAAAGTTCAGGCTAACAGAAGATATATAAGAAAACCCTTTCAAACAATACCACCTAGGCACGGTGACACACATCTGTTACCCCTGTACTAGGATGAGGGGGATCCTTGGGTACACAGCGAGTTCCAGGCAAGTGTGGGCTACCAAGGGAGACATTGTCAACAAAAATAATGGGAATGATAGTTGGAGGGTCTGGAACATATAGGACTTTGTGTGACAAGCCCTGGTCTAGATAGGGGTCCAAAAGCTCAAACTTTGGGGCCAAATCTAACCTGACACTTGGTTTGTAAGTAAGTTTTTTGTTTGTTGTTTGTTTTTGTTTTGTTTTGGTTTTTCCAGACAGGATTTCTCTGTGTAGCTCTGGCTGTCCTGGAACTCACTCTATAGATCAGGCTGGCCTTGAACGCACAGAGAACCACCTGCCTCTTCCTCTCAAGATTAAAGGCATGCAATATTATGACCTGGCAAAGCTAAAATTTATTTATTTATTTATTTATTTATTGGTTTTTTGAGACGGGGTTTCTCTGTGGCTTTGGAGCCTGTCCTGGATGGAATAAGCTCTTGTAGACTAGGCTGGTCTCAAACTCACAGAGATGCACCTGCCTCTACCTCCCGAGTGCTGGGACTAAAGGCCTGGGGAAAACTCAAATTTTTAAAAACACTGAAAAATTAAAAACAAGCCCAGCTGATAGGATGGCTTGGTGGCTGTCAAGCCTGGTTAATTCCATCCTGGGACCCTCACAGTAGGAGACCAACTGCTATAAGTGTCCTTTGACCACACAGCCTCAGTGGCACACAAACACACACTCAAATAAACAACATAGAATCAAAACAAAATAAACATTTAAAAGCCAGCCATGGTGGCACATGCCATCAATCCCAGCACTTGGGAGGTAAAGACAGAAAGATTGGGAGTTCTAGGTCAGCCTCAGCCACAAAGCAAGTTTGAAGCTAGCCTGGGCTACATGAGACCCCCCCATCTCAAAATGCAAAATTATTTTTATAAAGGGAAGAGACGAATGAGAGGTAGGCTCACAGGCACCAGAGACTGAACTTTGAAGAGATGTGACAGAAGGTGACCTAAGGTCCAGGAGCAATGCAGCCAACAGCCACCCCACTGCGGGACACACCTGGCTTGTTCCCACCCAGAAAAATCCTGTACATGCAGGGCCAGGAGTGGGTATCAATGGCCAAGCAAAGAAAGTTCAGAACGCTAGCAGAAGCGGCTCCCACCCGAGGTGACCCTGAACCTCACATTCTCAGGGAGGCCCTCCAGCCAAATCTGGCTGGGGCCTCTCAGAGGGCCTGGAAATGGCCTCCCACTGGGAGGCCTGGCACAGAGGGAGCAAAAACCCAGCCAGCTCAACCCTCTTTGAACCAGAGATGATTGGAGACTCCAGAAGCCCCAGGCAGCCCCTGCCCATGGGGCCCTTAAATGGCACTTTCTAGGGGTCTTGAGGGGCAGAAGCCTCTGAAGATGTGGGTACTGGCTGGACATTACCTCACATGAGGCAGGAGAGTGATGTAGCATAGCTGGCTGGGAAGAGGCCGGAAGGGGCAAAAAGCCAAGGGATGCTTTTTCCTACTGAGGCCTCTGCCTACTGAGGTGGGTAGGATCTGAAGCTCAGGGAGCGAACAGCCCTGCCACACTGCAAGTTTAGTGGAGACGAGCCTGGTTCATGTTGGAGTGGCTTTTGTTGTTGTTGTTTGGATTTTTGTTTTTGTTTTGTTTTGTTAACAGACTCCAGGCCTGTAGTCTGGAATTTGTGATTCTCCTCAGTCTCCTGACCATTGTTATCACAGGCGTATGTCATCACATCTGG